AGTCTGAAAGTTTTTCTGTTAGTTGGGGAATTTCAGAAACTTGCATGGAAAAAATGCTTATTACATATTGTGAAGGTAATAAAGCAGTTTAAGAAGCAGTTTATAGATAAACTCTCTCATTTAAAAGCATGCATATTGGGGCATCTGGGTGGCTCAGTCAGTTCAGTTAACCATCCAGCTGTTGATTTCAGCTCAGGTCATAATCTCACAGTTGTGAGATCGAGGCCAAAGTTGGTCTCAGCACGGAGTGTGGCGCCTGCTTGGGATATTCTCTCTCTCTCTCTCTCTCTTTCTCTCTCCCTCCCTCTCTCCCTCTCCCCCTCCCTCCCTCACCCCTCTCCCCCTTTCCCCTCCCCCACCCCATCCCACTCATCCTCTCTCTAAATAAACTAACTTTAAAAAATAGGGGCACCTGGGTGGCTCTGTCAGTTGTGTGTTCCTTTCTTGGTTTCAGCTCAGGTCATGATCCCAGGTCGTGGGATTGAGCCCTCTTGCTTAAGATTCCTTCTCTTCCTCTCTCATTGCCCCTCTCCCCACCTCATGATCGCTTGCTCTCTCAAAAAAAAAATAACATGCATGTTATATATATATGAGAGGTTACTTGCCTGAAACTCATTGTATGGTGGACAGGTCCAGACATGGAGGAACTCGACCTGGACCCAGAGATAAAGCAATAGAGAGTGTGCTATGAAGTCTAGAGATGGGCAGCATTCTTTACCTTGGGACTGAGGAATTAAGACGTTATTAAAAGTCTGTTTTCATTTGCAGTCTGAGCTTTTTAATATCAGTTAAAAGTATAATTTTCATTTCATAAGGTCACTTGATTTAGGTCTTTTAGACCATGCTTGTTTTATAAAGCAAGAGATAATCCAGTATTTAAATAATTGATTGATTTGGGAATGATGTTCAAGCAGTTGATTACCATCATTGGCTGTTACCAGAAAGCACTAGATGAATCTAGGCTGTTCTCAGCTATCTCAACTGATACTGAGATCATTTGACCAAAAAGAAAAGAAAAAGAAACTTTCCACATACTTGATTTATCATGTGCCTTCATTTATCATGTGCATCTAAAACCTAACCATGATTCATGGAGATAATAGTTGCTTGCTAAGAACTGAAAGAATGACTGACAAAATTAACTATTGTTTTTCTTTTAAGGTTAAAAACGACAACTAACGCCAACCATGAAAGATCCAAGTCGCAGCAGTACTAGCCCAAGCATCATCAATGAAGATGTGATTATTAATGGTCATTCTCATGAAGATGACAATCCATTTGCAGAGTACATGTGGATGGAAAATGAAGAGGAATTCAACAGACAAGTTAGTTTTGTGTACAAACATACCGTCTCTTTTGTAGCCCATGACAGCCCTCAGGGTAATTGACTTGACCCTTAAGTGTGTTTTTTATCTCCTCCCTTATATATAAAATATATAGACTTATGTGCTGCCACTCCTGTTTTATTTGGATGCTGATTACTACCAGGTTTATCTGCTCATTGAAATAATTTAGGGAGTTTTTTTCAGCGTCCCACCCCAGATATTGTCATTCAGGAAGACTAGGGTAGAGCCTGGAAAACTTGTTTATTAAAGCTTTTGAGATGAGGAGCACCTAAATGATTCATTTTGTGGATTAGTAACTCTTGATCTCAGAGTTGTGCATTTGAGCCCCATGTTTGGTGTAGAGATTACTTAAAAATAAAACTTAAAAAAAAACACTTGGTTCCAGTGTACAGATAGGTTTGGGATCCATTGCCTTACACCAATCAGATTGCTCTTAAGAGAATAAAAAGCAGGAGTAGACAGTCCTAGGCACTAGAATACAGAATTGTGTTTCACCTGAGGTTCTCAATCTGATGAGCCTGAAATTTTGACACTACTCTTCTCTTTAGAGAATACCTAGAAACCGATGAATGTTGTCTTTTATTTCCATATGTCTGGCATCTGTTCCCATCTTGTTTAGTTCCTCCCTGATCATGGCTTTGGTAGTCAGTAGGCCAACTTGATTTCACCACATCCAGTAATGGGTATTCTAGAGTAAGACTGTAGTCTCAATTCAGTGAGAATCATTTGGGTTGGTGTTTGTTGGTTTGGTTTGGTGTTTAGTTACCCATGTCCTCGGGATGCCTAGGTGGCTCAGTCAGTTAGGCATCCGACTCCGGGCTCAGGTCATGATCTCACAGTTCATGGGTTCGAGCCCCACATTGGGCTCTGTGCAGACAGCTAGCTCAGAGCCTGGAGCCTGCTTCAGATTCTGTGTCTTCCTCTTTCTCTGACCCTCCTCTGCTCACACTGTCTCTGTCTCTCTCTCTCTCTCTCTCTCTCTCTCTCTCTCTCTCAGAAATAAATAAAAACATTTTTTAAAAATTAAAAAAAATAATAATAATTACCCATGCCCTGACCTTACCCTGTACAGAATTTTAGTCATTTTTGATTGGGGTTAGGGTTTGTGTAGTTTCAAAGTATTACAGGTAATTGTGATAGACATTCCTGAATGAAAGCACTCCTTTATTATTTCCCCACATTCTGCTAGGACAAATAAAGACAGCAAAACCTTAAACAGATCTTTCCTAGACTTATGGTAAACATTTTTTTTCTTGGCACAGCAGAGAAGAAGGTTAAAATAGTGTGTTTTTAAATGCTTTAATTTTTATTTATTTATTTATTTATTTATTTATTTATTTATTTATTTATTTATTTTTAAGAGAGGGAGCATGCACATGAGATGGTGAGGGGCAGAGGAAGAGAGAGAATCCTAACCTAAGCAGGCTCCAAGCAGGGGAGCCCAGTGCAGAGCTCAATCCCACAACACTGGGATCATGACCCTAAAATCAAGAGTTGGATGCTCAACCAACTGAGCCACCCAGGCACCCCTTAAATGCCTTAATTCAAGACATTTTAAGCCATTCCTAGTGATATCTTACCAAGTGTGCTATCAGTGATCCTTTATTTATTATTAATCCAGATAGAAGAGGAGTTATGGGAAGAAGAATTTATTGAACGCTGTTTCCAAGAAATGCTGGAAGAGGAAGAGGAACATGAGTGGTTTATTCCAGCTCGAGATCTCCCACAAACTATGGACCAAATCCAAGACCAATTTAATGACCTTGTTATCAGTGATGGCTCTTCTCTGGAAGATCTTGTGGTAAAAAGTTCTTTTTCATCTTTTTAAAAACTAGCTCATCTTTCCCATAAGTGGAAAAGCCAGTAATCATCTGTGTAACAAGAGTTCTACATTTCTTCTCCGTCAGAAATTGTACTTCTCCTGTGGAAGCAGGGGCCTCCCAGTCTCACTTATGACTGAGAGTGACTTTTTTTTTTTTTACAAATAGTTTATTGTCAAATTAGTTTCCACATAACACTCGGTGCTCATCCCCACAAGTGTCCTCCTCCATGCCCATCCCTCCTCCCCCCCACATCCATCAGTCCTCAGTTTTTGTCAGCATTCAAGAGTCTCTCATGGTTTGCCTGACTGACAGTGACTTCTGGCAATATTCTGGAGCTAGTCTGAGACTACTAACAGACTTCTCAGCCACTGCTTTTAGTTTTGATAACTGTATTGCCCTAGGATATGTAAATATCTTAAACTGTTAATCCAGAAGAAATAGACAGTATGTCCATGTGACTTGCCTATACAAAAGTAGCTTGATGAAGATGTTTTGCTCTTTAATTTTTTCTTAAACATTTGGCGAAATTTGCACATTTTTATCTGAAAGGTGAAAATTTGGAGTTGTTTTTTTTTCCTGGCTAAAGATTTTCATTGAGTTACCCTAACTCCATTTGGAACTGGGATTTAATAAGGACTTTTACAAGCTCTTGGCAGAAAAGGAACACAAACCTGTTTGCATTGCCCTAATCTCCATGTCTCATTGCTGCGGATGGTACATTTGCAGTAAAAAATTTTTCAGGAATTATGATAAATAGGCATCAATACTTGAATAGAATGTGGTTAATCGTTTGCTAAAATTAAGATAAAATGATTTAAAGTCATAATGTTGACTTTTCTGTCCATATTGACAGTCTCTAGTTGCTTTTACAATTTAGTTCTCTGGAATTTACTCCTAGACTCACAAATATTTTTTGCAGTGTTTTCTCTTCACTGTGCAGTGATTTCCTAACCTAGCGATATATCATAATAAGTCCCTTAGCTAGATCCCAGGCTTGCAAATCAGTTGTCTAGGCATAAAAAGCACTCCTAGGACATACGGCCAGCCTGCCCCATCAGACATTTGGGAACCATTCTTCTAAAGGGCTGTATGGAGAACACTGAAAATTTACATTGCAGTACAGATTTGTTGCAGGAAATGTCAGTAACCCACTTAAACAAATGTGTAATCTCAATAGCTTGTTGTGATAAGCTTGCTTATGACTACGTTAGTCATTCCACAAATAATCCTGGTTGCTCTGATGAGTGAAGTCCTTTGCTGGTCATAATGTATAACTTTAATCTGGACTCCGTATAATTTCATTGTCTAGGAACTGGTTTGTTCTTGGTCTATTTGAGATTATGTTAATTCCTTATCGTGCTTTCATAGCTGCCAAAAGATTGCACATTCAGAAACACTGCTTTTTTAATTTAAACTTCATGCTTTTAAAGTTTAGATATATTTCCTTTGCGAGAAGTGAGAGTATATCCTGTCCAAGGAAATGGTTGTGTATAGATTATGAAACTAAATTAAACTAATGCTTCAAGATGTTATTTAATTGTGAAATAAGTGACATAGGAGGATCAGAATCAGTCGAAAAGCCTAGTGGTATTCCGACATTTCAGGTCCTGTAATACATCTTGATATCTTTTCACTTTTATCAACCGTGGTGGTGGCAAATTCCACCTATTGTCAAGATGCTGGTACATTTGCTTAGGAAAGTAAAAGTTTAGAGATCTAGAATACTGGCTCTTAGAGACTTTGGCTCATTATTCCTCTAACTGATGCAGAACTAGAGTTCCACAGAGAGTGATTTATCGAGGCTTTTATAGGAAGTTAATTTAGAGCAGATCTGGAATTACGTCTTAGGGTCTTCTGATTCTCCATGTAGTTTTCTTTTCCTGTTACAAACCTTGCTTCCTGTAGTAATTAGAATACAGCAATTTTAGGAAGATAACTCCATATTTTTTGAGGGTCATAAGCAAAATTAATCCATAAACAATTCCTCAATCCACTTTAATCATCATTTCAACACTTGTTTAATGTTTTTGCATAGTATGAAACTGTTAAAGTAAAATTATAGTTAAATGAACAGAATTCCTTATTCTGTGACACCTTTTTGTGTGTAGTTAGTAGGTATATATATAGATTACTTCAGGTTCCTTCTTTCCCTTCTGTAGATAAATTTTTTGGGTTAAGTTTAACCATACAGTCTGAGTTCTTTTGCCTTACATTTTTTGGAAGATAAGTTTGCATGTGGATCTGGGTTGAATGCTTTTGAGTATCTGAAGCCTTCTGTTAATGAACTTGCTTTTTTATGTACTTATTTTCCAGGTCAAGAGCAATCTGAATCCAAATGCAAAGGAGTTTGTTCCTGGGGTGAAGTACTAAAATATTTGAGTAGATGGGGCCCTCTTTTGGTGGATGTAGCACAATTTCCACACTGTGAAGGCAGTATTAGAAGACTTAATTGTAAAAGCTCTCTCTTGTCACTGTGTTACACTTATGCATTGCCAAAGTTTTGTTAGTCTTGCATGCTTAATAAAAGTGCTGAGACTGTTATTAAGTAATAAGCTGTCAAACATTTACTGAGAATAGAATTGGCCCCATGGCTTGATGTGAAGACAGCGAGGAAAGAAGCACCAGTCAAGTTGTAACAAAGCACCAAATTAAAATAACCTCTAAATCTTAGTGAATTGCCTTTTTTGAGGCTAAACTGGTCCTTGAGGGTTAGTGAACAGTTGTTAATGTCTAAACTTTTTTTTTTAATGAGTAAATTTAAGTTCAGGTTGTTAGGCACATTTCTCAGTTCAGACTTAAATCTACATTCGTGACTATCAAGAAGAATTTCCTTTTTCTTAAGAAGTCCTTGTTAGCTAATTTGAAATAATTCATTATAGACAATATGTCTTTGGTTACTGAGGTTCTAAGGTAATGCTCACAATGAGAACTAGCCCTGGCTTTTATGGTATGTTATCACGTAAGAAATAGTGAATTCTCCTAATGTTATATCTGAGGAAGTATGTAATTTGAGACTTACATCTTCTAAGGAGTCAATGCATCATAGCCATGCCTATGTGAAGTGCAACATTTGATCCACCATAATCCAATCCAATCAAATCCAAAAGAAATTGTAACAGGTGATTTGAGTGGTGCTTTTCCTTGCTTTGTTAACCATCACTACAATGGTCTGCAGCACAACTTTTCTTTTAACAAAGCTAGAACAGTTTTGGCTTCTTAAACTTCATACTTGGGTAGGTTAAGCTGCCATACGTGTTCAGTGTGAATAGTGTTTAAGTTGAAAATATTGTAAAAAAATTATATTTTTTCAAAAATATTTAAAAAAATAAATAATAGTAGAACTGAGCGGATGGTTGTGTTTATTGGTGCTGGCTGGAGTGCAGACTCTCCTGTGGTGATTGATACTCACTGTATTGTGGGTTCAGTACTTCAGGACAACCCTACTGGCAAGATTTGCTAAGAGAGTAGGCTTTACTAGATTCCATAGTGTCAAGTGTGTCATTATGCATATATCTGTCGAAAATGCAGCAGTAAAACAAACCTGATCTCCCTTTCTGTAAGCCACCGTGGTTGCCTCAGGCTGCAGTCAGTGGCAGTGCAGTTACAGAACTCCACCTTAAGAAGGTTTTTGGCTAACCAGTATAATGGCAACCTTATTCTAGTATAATCTCCATTGGCTTCTGCCCTTCACAAGCTGGTCTGATTGGACTAGTTTGCTCTTATGGTTCACCTGGACCATCCCTCTTTTCCCCCTCACAAGCTTATTTATGTTTGTTCCTGAGGAGAAGTATTAAAGGAGTTTGTTCCTGGGGTGAGTACTTTGTTTTGGGATAATCTTTATCTTGGGACTGGCTGACAGCCAGCTAGCAATTCCCTGGTTCTACATACACTTCTGCCTCATGGCCCTACTCAGTTGATGATAATGTCTTCTGAGCTTTTCTTGAGTTTGTTGGGCTCAGAATTAAGGCCATGTAGTCAGTTCTGGTTCACATTCTTAGTGGGGGATCCTTTGGTGTGCCCAAGTACCCCAGTGTTTTTTAATAGCTACCTTAAAAGACAGTAAACAAGTAGGTGGTGGTTTTTTTGTGGTTTGTGGGTTTTTTATAATCTCAAGCACCTGGCTGACTCAATTAGAGCATATGACTCTTGATCTGAGGGGTATGAGTTCAAGCCCCATGTTGGGTATAGAAATTACTTTAAAAACAAAAAATAATCTCTACACTCAATGTGGGACTTGAACTCATGACCCCAAAGAGTCACATGCTCTATTGACTCAGCCAGCAAGGCACCCCAAAACAAGTAGATTTTTAAGAAGCCCTGAAGCAGAAAGGATCCTACTTGGCTGTCTTTCTTTTTGGAGCTATGATACAGCCAGTTCCCTATGTGTCTTAATAGCTAAGTACCACAAGTGGCACAGCAGGCTGCCAGATGTATGAGGCTTACAGACCCTTTTCCTCTAAGCTCAGACGGGGGCAGATGAGTTCATTTCCACATACTGCCAAATTATCATAGTGCAGTGTAACTGGAGATTTATAAACTTGAATTATGCATTGTAACCTAATGATTAAGAGCAAAGACTATGGGCCACCCTCCCTCCCCTACTCACGCTCCCTCTCTCAAAAATAAGTATTTAAAAAATAGAAGTTCAGTTATTAAAATGATTATTTAAAAAAAAAAAAAGACTAGCCAGACTTCTAGATGTGAATCCATTGATCATGGACGAGTCACTTTTTTATGCCTTAGTTTCCACCTCTTTAAAATGGTAGTAATGGGGTGCCTGGGTGGCTCAGTTGGTTAAGTATCTGACTTCGTCTCATGTCATGATCTCACAGTTCATGGGTTCAAGCCCCACATCAGGCTCTGTGCTGACAGCTAGCTCAGAGCCTGGAGCCTGCTTCAGATTCTGTATCTCCCTCTCTGACCCTCCCCCGATCACACTGTCTTCTCCCTCTCTCAGAAATAAATAAAACATTAAAAAATAATAAAAATAAAATGGTAGTAATGACAGGGCACATGGCTGGCATAGTCAGAAGAGCATGTGACTCTTGATCTTGGGGTTGTGAGTTTGAGCCCCACATTGGGTGTAAAGGAGTACTTAAAAAAATAAAAATAAAAGGGTAGTAATAACAGTATCTATCTTAGGATTGTGGGATTCATTAATACACATCAAGCACTTAAGATAGTCCTCAGCACAGGGCGCCTGGGTGGCTCAGTTGGTAAGCGTCCGGCGTGGACTCAGGTCATGATGTCACAGTTTGAGTTCAAGCCCCACGTCAGGCTCCGTGCTGACAGCTCAGAGCCTGGAGCCTGCTTTGGATTCTATGTCTCCCTCTCTCTCTGTCCCTCCCCTGCCTGCGCTCTCGTGCTCGCTCGCTCGCTCGCTCTCAAAAAAACATAAACATTGAAAAAATGTGTTTTAAATAGTCCTCAGCACATAGAAAGTTTGTTTAAGCGATTGTTATTATTATCATTATTAAAGAGTATTGGAATTTTTCTTAATGTTTGTTGATTTTTGAGAGAGATACAGAGCATGAGCAGGGGAGGGAGAGGCAGAGAGAGAGAGGGAGAAACAGAATCCAAAGCAGGCTCCAGGCTCTGCGCTGTCGGCACAGAGCCTGACGCGGGGCTCAAACCCACCAGCTGCGAGATCATGACTTGAGCTGAAGTTGGATAGTTATTAGAGTATTCTAATTTTGTTGGGATTTTTCTTTTTTTTCAAGTTTTAATTTAAATGCTATAGTGCAATATTGGTTTCAGGCTAGAATTCAGTGATTAATCACTTAGATACAATACCCAGTGCTCATCATAGCAAGTGCCCTCAACACCCATCACCAACCTCCCTCTATCAACCCTCAGTTTATTCTTTATTGTTAAGAATCTCTTATGGTTTGTTTCCCTCTGTCTTTCTCCCCCCCTCCCATATGTTCATCTGTTTTGTTTCTCCCACATATGAGTGAAGTCATATGGTATTTGTCTTTCTCTGACTTCTTTCGCTTAGCACAATACACTCTAGCTCCTGTTGGAACTTTTCTTGATTGTCAGAGAAACTGCACATTAAGACTACTTAGCTGTTTAACTGGAGAGTCAGGCATATGTATTACAATTAGAGATGGTAAGTTTCATAGCATCAGCTATTCTATTTTGAATCTGTCCACTTTGGACAGATTACCCCATCAGGGCCTGTGTGTCACAGTTTTAAAGTAATTGAGGTCATCCTGTTTTGATTTCAGGGTTCTTATTTTATGATCACTATTGAAACAATGCAGTATATATAAGAGGAACCGAACACAGGGCTTGATCTCAAAATCTTGAGATCATGACCTGAGCTGAAATCAAGAGTTGGACGCTTAACCAACTGAACCATCCAGGTGCCCCTGAGAGGATTTTTCCTGTTCTTGTGCACTGTCAGTATTTCTCAATCTATTCCATGTCATAAAGTATTAATTTTTTTTAACACGCTGGAGTACAAGAATGGGGCTATCTGTGGCCAGAGTTTATGGTTCATGGGCTGCAGTTGACCCATTTCCTGCCTAGATACTCAGAATGCTGAAGGGGTCAATATGTCAGCATACTTGTGACTTCTTAGTAACCCACAGCAGTTGGGAAGTTCTACTCTCATTATGAAATAGCTAAGGAATCCCATTCAGAATCTGTATTTTGACCGTTTACCCAGTCTACTTTTCCCTGAAGACCGTGAAATAGGTCACAAAAATGGAAACAGTAGTTTTTTCTTTGTTTAAAGCATAAGGATAGGGGTGCCTGGGTGGCTCAGTCGGTTGAGCGTCCGACTTCAGCTCAGGTCACAATCTCATGGTTAGCGGGTTTGAGCCCCGCGTCGGGCTCTGTGGTGACAGCTAGCTCAGAGCCTGGAGCCCGCTTCAGATTCTGTATCTACTTCTCTCTCTGACCCTCCCCTGATCACACTGTCTCTCTCTCTCTCAGAAATAAATAAAACATTTAAAACATTTTTTTGAAAAGCTTAAGAGTATTATGATTTTTCAGCCCTCCCACAAAAGACCATCTAACACACTACCTTTCCTAGGAGTAATTTTTCAGACCTTGGTGCACGCAGACCCAGTTTGTATATTATCTGGAGTGTCTTCTGGAACTGGTTGCTGGGCTTTTGACCTTGAAAATCCTTTGAAGACTGGGCAGATAGGAATATATTTCAGAAAGGCAATCTTCTTGACCATGCTCATCCCAATGGGGAAGTCATAGCTCTTGAGGCTGGTAGACATCTCACTGTTGGCATGGGCCCCAGCTTTCCACTGTATTAGACCTCGTTCCTCTGGACTCCCTGGAAGAGGACAGAAATTACCAAGGCTAGCAACTCCCCAGTACCTCCCCTTCTCATAACCTAGTCCTGAGGCAGACTTCTGGAAATCCATGGTCCTCATTCTCAAGTGTTTTCTGGGACTGAAAAGTTACTGAGTCCATGATTTCTCAGGTCCTAACTTGGCCACAGCTCTAGCAAATTCTAAAAGATACTGGTTATACTTAGTATTTATTGTGTATCTATAGTGTACCAGCTCTGTGCTAAGTGCTTTAATTTCTTTATTTCATTTCTCCAAAACATTCCTGTGGGAAGTATATAGGTGCTATTACCAAATTTATATGATGAAGAAACAGGCAGAAAGGTTAAGTAATTGTCCATTTACATCTCTAGTATGGAGCTAGTGTGTGCTAAGCTGATAGGGACCAAATTGTGCCCAGACCCTGCTTTGGGACCAGGCAGGGATATTTAGAAACACTATAATCAGTATTACTATTAAATGTTATGATTCCATATTTGGAAATTAAACTTGCTTTTATAATACAAATCTCAGAAAGTCAAGCTACTAAGTAAAATCTTTGTTGGTAGTATGGATACATAAAAGATTATATTCACATAGGAGAATATTTCTTCAAGAGGCAGGAAAGGGGTGCATGAGATCTCTGAGGTTTTTACAAGAGGGATGAAGTTAGAGAAGACTGATACAGCATGAGTAGAAAGATTTCCACTAGCCCCACTAACATTTCCTGAACTAAATTATCTCTCTAAGTTTCAGCTGTAGATGGGGACAGAGAGCGAATGCAAAATGGCCCATCAGCAAAATGCCCATTACACAGAAGAAAGTTGTATACAGGTAATTCCATGTTTAAGGACCGGCTTCTGATTTAACCAGACCTGGGTCTGAATTCAGGTTGAGGCAAGTGATTTGATCACTCTGAGCTTCAGATTCTTCAACAATGCACATTCAAGGACTATTAAGGATTATGTGGCACGGGCCACCTTGGTGGCTCAGTCAGTTGTGTCTAACTCTTGATTTCGACTCGGGTCGTGATCTCATGGTCAGTTGTGCAGCTGAGCTCCTCGGGCTCTGTGCTGACAGTGCAGAACCTGCTTGGGATTCTGTCTCCCTCTCTGCCCCTCCCCCACGCATGTTTTGGATTCTCTCTCTCAAAATAAACCTTAAAAAAAGGATTATGGGGCATAACATACATAATGATCTCTGGTAGAGATGGTTGCTGATAGGGAGTTGGGTTGAAGGATGGGAATGCCTTGCTGAGGCAAGGCACTGTGAGGCTATTAACATCTGAGGTAGCTTAATCAAGCTACCCAAATCATAAAGTCCATCAGTATACAGTCCACCTGATGCCCTCCATGTCCTCAGATTCTGTGGGCATAGAGGCTGCCACTTCCCTTTCTGACGTCCACAGCTAGCCTTCCTCTAAATGGGAGGGGCAGGTACCACCTATTAGTCCATGGTGTAACTGCTACCTAGAGTTCTCTCATCATCTGGTGCTATCTGAAATTCCTGAGTGCCATGGCACTTAGGCCTTTCCTGCCCTCACTCCACCCCTGCAGCTGTGTTCAGGCTAGCAAGTGATCGGGGTTGGAGGGCCATCCTGCTACTCCCATCCCTCATCTCCCTGGAATCATGCAGTTTTTAACCTCTGCCTCCATGGGGCCTTCCCTGATCTTCCAGGTGCTCTGAAACCCTCCAACAGAGGCAGTATGGTGCAGTTGTTGGAACACAAGCCATAGACTGCATCAGGTGGACTTTGTTAAAATTCCAGATTTGCAACCTTTTAAATCTCCAAATGTGAACTTTGGTGAGTCACTTAACCTCTCTGATTCCGTTTCTTTGTGAAATGGTGTTGATAGTATCTAACAGGATAGTTTCTGAGAATGAAGCGAGACACCTAGTTTCATGCCTGGCGCATAGTAGATGTTTGGTAAATGTTAACTATGCTTGTTACTCATTAGAGCAACTGGGGACATGTAGTTTTTATATTTTACAGGGCACATAAACATGAGCCAGGAGGGTTCACAGGGACTCACATGAAGTTACCTTCCACAATCCCTGCAAAAAGCCCTAGTATCAAAGAGAAATGTTAGGGGCTCTTCTAGTAGCTAGTATTCTTTGGTAGTGGGTTTTGCCAACAAACTGATGCTTCATTTGTATCTGCCCTAATCTAAGAAAGCAAAGGCTCCCAAAGGCATCCCTCAACCTGGTTATCAAGAAATGGAAGGAGGGGCACCTGGGTGGGTCAGTCCGTCGGTTAAGCGTCCGACTTTGGCTCAGGTCATGATCTCATGGTTCGCATCAGGCTCTGCTGACAGCTAGCTCAGAGTCTGGAGCCTGCTTCAGATTCTGTGTGTCCCTGTCTCTCTGACCCTCCCCTGCTCACACTGTCTCTCTCTCTCTCTCTCCTAGAAATAAATAAGAACATTTAAAAAAGAAAAAAGAAATGGATGGAAACAATTCACAGGCCCCCAGAATGACTCCCCTAGACCCACCCTCTTCAAGACCTTTGAAGCATGCCTGTGCCTCTCTCTAGCCCCTAGTCTCTCCCTCCAGCCAGTGGGCACTCCACCAGCCCAAACTTTGTTTCTCCCTGCAGGTCCTGCATTGCATGGGTCCTGGCCACACTTCTGGTTGAGGGGCCATTTGTTGGAGTGCATATGAGCCCAGCCTAGTTCTGTGTTTCCCTCCCAGGGCTGACCCATACCTGGCACTGTGTTGACCCATACCTGGCACTGTGTTGTCCAGTATGAAAGCGAGGCACCCACCCACAAACATCTCTGTGGTCAGCAGCACAGTCAGAATCTGGTCCACTTCAGGAATGCCTGTGAAATAGGTCAAGGGCCAGTAGACATCTTGGCCTCATCTGGAGACCAGAGCTCAGGGACTTTCTCCCCACTTGTGCAACTCACTGACTTCTTTGAGCAGGCATGGAGATGGGAGTGGTACAAACCCCAACTTCCTAACCTATCTGCACCCTATCTCTCCCACCCTTGGGTTCACATCCCAGTTTTGCCAATTGCTACTTGTTACCTTGGGACAAATCATTTAACTTCTCTGAGCCTCATTTTCCTCCTCTGTAAAGTGGAGGTGATAATAGTATCTGTCTCCTGGAGCTGTTTTGAATATTAAATAAGCACATGTAAACCTCCATAGCTGTCCACAGAAAGTGTCTTAATAAAGGACAGTTGCTAATCACTTTTCAGCTTCTGGTTCACATCCACAGTTGGGCAGGATTTGTGGTTCTGTAATATGATGCCTTTGACGGAGGGAGCTGTGCCCAGAGTCGAGCCCACCACACCTCCCCCATTGACCGAGACTTTTAGACTAGCGGAGGCACCTGTGTTGATGGCGCCAGGGTTGGACTCCAGGTAATTGGGCAGCGTGAGTCCGAAGAACATGGAAAATCCGAGCACGAACAGGTTGCGAGAGGAGTTCATGTCCACGAACTGCAAATTGGACAGCCCCACAGCCGTAATCATGCCTGAGGGCGCAGGAGAACTGCTGGAGGCGCCTTACAGGCCGGATGGGCTCCACCACTCCACGACCGCGCAGAGACCCACGGCGCACACGGGGCACTCACCGAAAAGGGTGCAGAACATGCCCCCCAGGATGGGGTCAGGGAGCGAGGCAAAAAGGGCGGTGAATTTGCCAACAGTGCCCAGGACTAGCATGATGCCCGCGCCATACTGCACCACGCGCCGGCTGCCCACCTGCAGGGGAGCCAGGGGGCAGCGTTAGACTCTAGGCGCGAAGCCGGGGCGGAGCTGGAGGCGTTCTGGGGACCGGAAGGCGGGCGGGGCCTGTTATTAAAGTGAGCACGAAAGGGCCGGGGCTTGATGCGGGGCCGGACCTCTTGAAGACAGGGCGTGGCTAGGCCAAAGTGGCAGAAGCTTGGGGCGGGGCTTTGTGCCGCTCCGGCTTGTTTTGGCACCTTGGTAATCCCCAGAACGCCAATGTTGGGGCTAGACGAGGTGGACCCGTTTCCTGTGCCCAGCAGCCCCGCGATAATGCAGCAGATACCCTCCGTGAAGATGCCCCTGTAAGGAAAGAGCGAGTTGGGGCCCTGGTCCAGCCTCTGCCCTGGCTTATGTCCTCCCATCACCCTGGGCGAGCTGCTCGCCTTCTTGGGGACTGTTCAAGCTGCAACTATCTGTCCGTAGTACTCCCCACTTCAGGCCAGAGGTAAGTCTGGGAGCCAAGAGCCCACATCCGAGCGCTAGTCCCAGTGCCCTGGAACTTACTCCCTTAGGCGACTCTGGGCTTCAATTTCCTCATCTGTAAAATGGGCATAATAAGGGTACCTTGTCTCACAGAGTCGTTAGTAGATTGCATAAGAGAATACACATGGAGGGCTACGCACATGAAAGGTTGTCAACGACCATCGTTTCCCTTAGGCTTCATTATCTCAACTACCTGTTAACACTCAGATGAGCTATGAGAGTATCCCATTTCATAAGTAAGAATGAGGTCTGGAGAGTATTAGTGACATGAACAAGTCCACACCTTTGAGACTCAATCTTGTCCCTACATTTACTTCCTGAGTGGCCCCTGAGGGGATCAGATATTGGAGAGGGCAAGTGGCCATACCTGTTGATAGCATGTACTGGAGGAGGTGGTGCACCAGCCAGGCGGGCACAAGCATAGTAATCTCCGATGGACTCAATGATGCCAGCTAATGTGGCACTGAACATACCCAGGACAGCAGCCGCAGTCACTGTGGGCAGGCCCCACTGACCTAGGGAGGGAGGGAGAAGGGAGGATGGATGCAGTAAGCTCTGGGTGGATCAGGGAGTGGACTAGGCAGTATGTGGGGGTTAAAGTATCTCAAGCTGGCGTAGGAGCTCTACAGCTGTGGCAGCTTATTTGGGATCACTCTGTCATGAAGCTGGAGTGAGGCTTTGAGGAAAACCCCACTCTCCCTGCCACACTGTAAATGTACAGCTAATGCAAAGTGTATCATCGTCTGGGTGAGAATCATCAGGGGTCTCATAGATGGTCTCAGCTAGAAGTGGAAGGGACCAGGTGGGGGTGTCTCACAGGGATAGGGGATGCGGATCCAGGGCGCAATAGCCATGATGTCCCCTCGGGCATCCGTTCGTGCCTGGAACCCATAAGCTGTGGGGTCTGAAGGCAGCACATTCGTCAGGGTCAGGATATAGCAGAGCAGCCACACAGTCATGATGGCCAGCACAATCTGAAGTGGGATGGGGTGAGGGGGAGCACTGAGGGGCCTGGATATCTTGGTCCAGGCTAGCCAGTCCCTTACCTCAGCCCTAGCCCCAGCCCCAGCCCTAGCCTTTGCCCCTGCCCTATCTCAGACATGGGCCCCAATACCTACTCTAGCCCCTGACTAGGACCTCATCTGTGCTCTGGCTCTAGTTCCTCTGCTGTCCCAGACCTGCCCACCTCCCCCCCACCCCCCCGCCCCGACCTTTGCCCTGGCCCCAGATCCAGCCCCTGCCCTAGTCCCAGCCCCAGCTGTCTTCAGCTCCTCACAGGAAACATCTTGAAGATCTGGATGCGGAAGAGAGTGAGGCCCTTGCCCCAGCGGTAGACAGGCAGCAGGAAGGTGAGGTTACGCAGGTACTGGGAGAAGAGGACGATCAGGAGAATGGAACTGGGGGGCAGAGACACAAAGGAAAGGTGGCTGGTGGGCTGGGCTGGGGCCAGGACACGAAAGGGGTGAAAGGGCTGGGGCTGGGAAAGGATCAGGCTTAGTGCCAGCTCACCAAGCTGAGATGCCCCAGTGGGAGCCAGCTCGGTCGCCAGCAGCTTGGAAGACAGAGAGGCCAATGAGGGAGACTGTAGGGGTGACCGTGAGAGGCCCTATGTAGCTGAGCAGGGCCCCAGGCAGCCCTGTCAGCCCGATCACCACCTCCACCATGCTGGATACCATGATTGCACCCTGGACCTGGAAAAGCAATTAACAGTACTTTAAGTCACTATTTAGAGGCTATGACCTCTACGTAAAAAGAAAAAAGAAGAAAAAAGAAAAAAAGCTCCACCACCTCCTTGAATCCTCCAACTCACCAGTGGCCCTCACTCCCATCTAGCCCCCTCCTCAGGTCCAGATCTCTTCTATCCCAGGTACAAACCTACCTCACGTATCCGTGGGTGCCAGATATGAGAAGTGTTCAGGGGAAGACTCCAGTTACCGTAGATCTCCTCTGGGATCAGAGACAGAGACACACACATGACCAGGGGACACAGAGAGGAAGAGAAGATGCTGCCATGAATGCACCCTGGTATCTGGACTCAGGAAAGTCACCCAGACTTCCAGGCTCCTGAGCCTCCCCTCTCCAGCACCGGCCCCAGAAGTGTGCCCACCTTCTGGGGGGCATTTCCATCTCTCCAGGCCCAGGATGGCTTTGGCTGGGACCAGAAATGCAAAGGCACTGGCCTGGAACAGTGGCAGCCTGGAAGGAGAGGCACAGAGCAACAGGGGCAGGGTCAGGAGAAGGCAGGGACACATAGACAGGGGAGAAGGGGAGAGAGGGGTGCAGACAGGAGGAGAGAGAGAATCACACCCAGGGACAGAGACACAGAGGAACAAGGTCAGGGCATCGCTGAGAGAAGTTGCTATGGCCCCAGGCAGGCCTCTAACATTTTGGGGGTCCAAGGGAGAAAACAAATGGAGTCCCTGGCCCACAACATGCCCCCTTTCCTTCCCAACCCCACCTCTGCACTGTGAGGGGCTATGTACAGGGAAGCAGGCAGTTCAACTCTTGCATCCAAGCCCTACTCACAACCTTCCTCCATCCCCCCGCCACAAAAACAACCATCTTGTGGCCACCCAAGCCTAGAGCTGTGCACACAGGAGCAGGGGGCCCCTGAACAAGGGACCATTGAAGAAGCCCACATAAGCCCTAAAAGTGAGGAATTACCCAGAGTAGGGCTTAACAGGAGGAGAGTCCAGCTACGGTACATTCCCTAAAAGCCACAGACTTCTTGCCTTTAAGGAGAGTTAGGGGCCCAAGGTGGAATCCCAGCTTCCTGGCTCTAAGGCTGGCTTGGGAGTAGGAGTAGCGGTAGCAGGTGGTGACAGAAAGCAGCTTTTTTCTCAAAAAAACAAAAAAACAAAAAACAAAAGCAGCCCTCAGAGAAACCACCTGCTCCCACTGTGTGGATCACTGTGTGTGTTGAGGGTGGGGAACAGGGGCCGGGCAGCTCACCGGATGCCCAGTGTGGTCTGGATGAGGGTGGTGATGCCCACGCAGGTGAAGATGGTACCGATGAGCTGGCTGATCATGTGCTGGTCGCGGCCCACACATAGTGCCTCAGCCAGGAGGAAAGGCACAGCAATGGTGCCACTGAAGCATGTCAGGTAATGCTGGGGGGGCGGGGGAGGAGAGTGTATGAGGCAGGGCCCATAGGGCTCACAGGGAAACAGGGGCATCCTAACCATCCCCATGCCTGCCTCCGTGGGCCTGAACCTGTGCCACCCCCGGCAGTGTGCTCACCCAGGACTAATACTCCTATGAGGGATTCCCAGCTACTGCTCGCCACTCTCTGGGTTAGTAATCTGGCCCCAAGTTATTTCTGTGGCTTCTGTGGAGTGAGTCCTCTTTCCTGTGACTGCCACTCCACCTGGCAGGTGACATATTCTTGGGGATAATCTTCTCTCAGGCCCCATCCAACCTCCTCCCCACCCGTTTGGTGACAGTCACTGTCATTGACCTTAGGTTTCTCTTCCTATTACCCAAGACAAACTTGTTGGCCAGGAAGGGGGCGGGGATCCTGGGGAACATGCAGAGTGGAGGTGGGGAAGCCCTCCAGAGAAGCCCACCTGGAAGCCCAGCAGAATGCACAGGTACCAGGGCGGCACATCCTCAATCTTGTACAACATGTCAAACTTGGGTTCTGTGGGCAGGGACGTGGTGGGATCCCTCGTGGAGGTCCCTGCTGAGCCCAGGGACTCATGCTGGGGCAGCAGAGAGAAGGAACTCAGGGTGGAGTGATGGGGATCAGCTAAGTCCATTCTGCCCCAGAATCAATCAGGTAGCCTGAGTGGCTGTTGGATCCTCAGAAAGGGGTCCAAACCCCACCCTCCCTCTCGGTTCATCCACCCAGCTGTCTCTTGGGCTGGCTACCTCCAGCTCACTCCTCACATTTCTTTGTGCAGGGATGAGTCCACTCTGCTGGCTCCTGGAGGGCTTGGGACCAGGGCATTCCACCCAAGGGGATGGGCTCCTAAGTCAGAAGGCCGCGGGGAGCAACAGAAGAGGGAGCCAAGAAGGCTGAAGTCTGTGGACAAGCCCTCTGGGATACACTGTGGTCTCACCTTTGCCCCCTTGGAGGTCTTTGGGGTTTCCCTGGGGGTGGGAGAGGTTGAGTCCCTGCTGGCCCTCAAGCTAGAGTCTGCCAGTCCCAAAGCTGATGACTCCTGCACCCTCACTGCCACCCATATGCCATCCCCCAATCGCTACGTTCAGCCTGAGATAGTCACTCTCGATCAAGTTCATTGGAACTTTTGTCTCTTCCTTCCTGGGGAGAAGGCCTAAGCAGGTCTTTAGCTCCCACCCAACCCTGCCCCCCACCCAGGTCCCAACCGTTCCCCAGCACCTGTGTCTGGCCCTCGGGGTCCTCCTGGGCCCTCATCTTTGGGGCACAGGTATGAGCAGTTCCTGAGGAAAAAAGGGGATGGCTTTATGAAGGCCAAGGAGGACTTTAGTCCACACATCAGACATTGTTCGAAGTAAATCTGTAACCAGATTCCCAGCTCTGATTGCGAAAGGAGGATCTGGGTGGAGATAACGTATTAACTCCGGCCATGGTGGTAAAGGCCACCCAAACCTCTGCCATCTGAGCACACCCTTCCCCGACTGCACCTGAGCCTGGGCCTGGGACCTGTTCTTGTTTCCAAGAGAGGGCCAGAGTGCAGGTGAAGGATGAACAGGCTGGGAAGTTTACCAAACTCTGGGTGAGGTGGTAGTAGCAGGGGGACACTTATTAGGTCACACTCCAAACAAGACTCTTCCCTACTTATAATAACAAGTTAATAATTATCATTACCATAATCACTCTCTTTAAGGAGGAATGACTGCATGCCAAGCAATTGCTATGTACTGCAGTGTTTCACCCCAGGCACTAGGCAGCATTAGCCTCTTTTATAGCTGAAGAAACAGATCTAGGAGATGTGATCTGACCAAGTCCACATAGGTAGCAAGGTTTTAGAAAACCATTCCAAAAACTCAGGTTGGCCTGAACTCAGTTGCTCATGCTATAAATCAGCCATTAAATTTAATAAAGGCCTGCCCTCCCCATACAGCCATTTACCCCTCAGTGCCCCAGAGGCCCAGATGGACCAGGCTTGCCTCTTCCCTATGCCAAGACAATGATTCCTTTCCCCTCCCAGTCAGGACTGGCGATGTAATTCACAGGACCCAGTGCAAAAATGAAAATTTGGGACCCCTGTTCCAAAAGCATTAGGAATTTTAACATAGCAGCAGCAGAGCATTAAGCCAAATGTAAGGCCTTTCTAAGCACCGGGCTCTGTGTGAGTGCATGTCACACAGCCCCTGAAGCTTGCCCTGGACTCAGCCTGTCTCCTCCTCCTAGCAAGCCCACCGGCCTGACCATGGGGGTCTAAGGACCTGAGGCTCTTCACCTGGTGGGGATGGGCCTAAGGTTCCTGGTTCTGCTCCCCTTTGTGCTGCCGCAGTCCCAGCCCCCCAGGGCCCACCTACTTCTGGGTTGCTGTACCCACGGCCAGGTCCTGTTCCAAGGACCCACAGGCAGCAGTGCTCTCCACCTGGGCAACAGCTTCATGCCACAGCCGTGAATCCGTCGGCTTGTCCAGAACCCAGGTCTTCCTCTGTCTGCCTATCTTCTCCTCTCCCTTCTTGGCTCTTGCTCCCAGGTTTCCCAAAGTTGTCTGACCAGTTCGAAGCTTCGAAACTGCTCCTTAGCATTTTCCTCCCTGCCTGCCTCTCTCCACCCCAGTACTCCCCAGGGGGCTCTATTGAGACAGAGCCCCACCTCTTACACTTATGTGCACATGTCCCATGGACATTCAGTTCAACCCAGCCACACACCATACACACACACACACACACAAGGCATATAAGTTGTACATGGTCTCAGATACACAAACACATAGATCCACAGCACCCAGACTGTGCTGCAGAGTACAGCACACTATGTAATCACTCTCTGTAATCACAGGGCCACACAGATCCATGTCACAGGATCCCATCTCCACACCCAATACTACAGGCAGCTCAGCTGGTTCCTTGGGCCCTGGCTCTCTTCCTGGTGACTAGGGGTGAAGGCCAGGCTCTCTTCTGGGGTGAAGGCCAGGGAGGAGGGGCCTCAGGCAGCTAGGGACCAGGTAATGGAATGTAGGGGGCCAGGCTACAGTACAGCTCATAAAATCTGTAAAATCTGGAGGGGTCAGGTCCTGCCTGGGGCACTCCTATTTCTCCAACAATGACCTCCCCTCTCCCCAAATCTGAATCCTCTCCCAGCCCTGCCACTACTCAGCCTGGGACTTGGCTTGAGCCTCTTTTATTTTCTAAGCCTTGGTTTCTGTGTCTGTCAACTAGGGATTAGAGTGTCTGTTCCTTCCACCTACCAGGGCTTCAGCAGATCAGAGGAACACTCACAAAAGAAACTACAAGGTATAGCACTGCCTGCCCACAAGTTCCCAGACTTAGGTGGCGCCCAGGTGGAACCCTTTCCTCCATTGCTAAGGAAAGGTCCCAGGCTGGAAGGATTTCTGGGGAGAACAAGACTTAGAATCAAGATACTGAATCTAGCATGTTCCAGGAACTGTGCCCTGCCCAGTCCCAGGAGGGCATCTAGGGCTCAATCATGCCAGCTAGGGTCAGAGGTAGAGTTCAGACACTGAGTGGCTGCTGGGCATAGACCCAGTTAGACTAGTGTTCAGGAAAGGACACAGGTAGCACAGAGTGGCTAAGTAGACGTGTCCACAAGGTAGGCTGCTCATGGAGTTTTCCTTCTCTCTCATGATGGGTCTGGGGTTTTATCATCCATATAACTGGTTCCATATGCCTTTGACAGCTTGCTCACATTTTCATCCATGGTAGGTCTCACCTACCTCTGGAACACTGTAGGCAAGTGTATCTGGCCCTCTTTAGGTACAACCTCAGCAGAAACACCAAAGTCTGACTTCCCAGCCCCACAAGCACCTTTTGTAGAGAGAAAGAATCAAGAAATGGAGGTCACTGGTTTTATTTGAGTCCAGAAGGGAAGGCCTCCCAGCCAACACATACACCAGGCCCCAGTGGTCTGAAGCCTGAGGGAGGGGGGAGGGGCATGGCAGCATAGAAAAGCATGGCTTTCCTGCCCTCCAGGCAGCCTGAATAAAGGAATGGGACAGGTCCAGAGGAAGCCCAGCTCTCTTCAGGGGTTGACCAGGAAGGGGAAGGAGTAGTTGGACTACAGCTCTGTCTTTGTGGCCGGTGCCTCCTCTGAGCAGGCCCCCTGGGGGCCTCCACACAGCAACGCCTCCAGAGCACCTCGACCTTGTTGGTGAGCTTCGTAGATCTTGTCCTCTCCAAACTCCCCCAGGTAGTGCAAACATGTCGTGGAGAGCCTAGGGGAGCCCAGCAAGAGCCTCAGACCTTGCCTGCCCCACAGGGGGGCTGATCAAGGCTCCAAAGTCTCCATTCCACCCCCACACTCCTGTCATCACCTGGTGGGCCAGGGGCCCCCTGTGATCATCACGCTGATGTTTGGCTCTGGCCCCTTGCTGAGTCCTGGGCCCGTGAGACGTTTCATCTGGTTCACTTCTCGCACCCCATAGCTGGAAGCAGTGGGGAGGAGAGGGATACAGCATTAGTGGGACCCTTGCCAGCAAGCGATCCATCCCCACATGAAGCTGAGCACACTGGGCATTTGCTAAAGTCAGAGCCCAGATTCTGATCTTCCCTGATGGAAAACTGAGGACCAGCGAGGGAAAGCCCCTGGCCCAAGGTCACATAGAAACCATATATCCTGACCATCTACCATTCTACTTGCTCCCAGCTCCAGAGCTCAGACTACATTCCAGCCAGCCTCCTACCCTAGACCAGAGCCCTAGTGGATTGTGTGTCTGGTGTGAAAGGGAGAATGAGAACCTCAACCCATCAGCCCTGCCCCTGGGGAAGGTAGGGGCCAGACTTTTGACTCACCCCTCCCAGGTCTGGGAGCAGCTCCGGTCCAGGACGTCTGTGTATACTGACTCACTCAGCTCCTGCCGCCCCTCGGAGTCCCGGGTATGAAGCTTACCCTCTGCCTTTGCCAAATGTTGCCACATCTAGAATAAGGAGGGGCTGAGAGCCAGGGCTTTGGGACTGCTCAGTGTTGGGAGAGGGGCAGACAGGAGCCTGGGGTCTCTGGGAGGAAGTGAGGTGTCAAGGGAGCCTTTTGAGCAGGAAACTCCTGTGAGCTGGCTTCACTGCCCTCCCACAGGTTCCAAAAGCTGAGACTGGGTCTGCTGAGGTAGGATTCACTTCCCTGGGATGGGGTGGGTGGGAAACTCTGAAGTCGAAAGTTAGGCTCGAGCACTGGGCCTCCTTCCCCAGGGCACACCAGCCCATCAGCACGTGCTATTTTATTTTATTTTTTAAAGTTTATTTATTTTTGAGAGATCCTGACATGGGGCTCAAGCTCAGAAAACGCGAGATTGTGACCTGAACTGAAACCAAGAGTCAGGTGCTTAACTGACAGAGCCATTCTTCTTAAACCACAAGAACAAGGAAAGGAAAAAAAAAAAAAATCCAGAGCCCAGTCTTCAATGACACGTGTGCCCATGGGCTCCCCTCCCCCCATAGAGACACTCAGGCATGCTTGACAGGTTTGTGTGCAAACGCAAGAGATACACATATACTCACATATTCAGGTACTCGACCCATGTGCATACATGCACATATACACCAGAGTGCTCCCTGGTCATGTTTTGGGAAGGAGCCCCAACCTGAGGATAAGCCTAGAAAGCAAGGAGTCCTAGAGGACAAGCTGGTGACTCCCTAGGGTCTCAAATTATTTTGGGGTGGGTGTCCCAGATTATTTGCTTACTGTTGGGCAGAGAGATGGGTACACTGAGGCATGGAGGTTTAGGTGAGGTGAAGGTGGCAATATCATGGAAGGCTAAGTCTAACTTGATACCCCTGGGGTTGAGGATTTAGGAATCAAAGGCCAGGGACACCTGTGTGGTTCAGTCAGTAAAATGTCCGACTTTTGATTTCAGCTCAGGTCACGATCTCACATATATAAATAAACATTTAAAACAAAGAAAAAGAAATCAAAGTCCAATGGTAGAATCTGAAGTAGAAGAAGGGGACTGTCTTCAGGAGGGGCCTGGATAGGCTTCGGGGAACTGCTGGGGAGAAGTACTCACCTGGTAGGCCACCGCCCTGCAGGCATCACAGCGCAGGTGAGCAGGCATATGAGCTGAGTACTTCTCCTCATCGTCCAGCTGTGGGGCAGTGGCTGTGAGTGGAGCCCTGTCCCCAAGACCCCCTGGGATGCCCCAGACTCCCAGCAGCAGCAGTATCAGTGCCAGTGACAGCCTCATGGTCTGTGGAGCTGGCTCAGTGAGCATGGGCTGTGGTTGGGGTGCAGGTGTGTATGTGTGCAGTGGGGGCCGCCCCAGAACTTCTGACCCAACCAATGGGGAACCAACACCTCACCCCTCCCACTCTCTCCCTTCCCCCAGGGCCCTGCAGATGCCACGTGTGCAACTCCTCTAGTGGGATCCTTGCTCCAGCCAACCCAGCTCCATTTCACAGAGAGGGAGCAATGACGTAAGGAGGGGGGCTGAGACTGGGCAAGGACATGTGGGAGCTGATACCTCCCATCTCCTGGGCTCTGGCAATTCAGTGGGCACTGTCCTGAGTACCTTGGGGGAAGAGGTGCTTGATTAGTGTCATTTTTATGAACACATGAAAGCTCAGAGAGAAGTGACAAATCCAAGACCATACAGCTTCAAGGGTCATAGTGAAACTGGAACCCAAACATGATTGACCCCAAAGCCACTGGCCACTCAGCCACCAGGAGGAATGAGGCCACAGGCACAGTTTCCAGCCTAGGGCAGCCTCCCTGGGAGGCAAGTTTGTTGAAGCAAGGATGCCACAGCACATGAAAGACACACGTGGGTTCCTTCTCTGAGCCTTAGGGCCATAGCCAGGCATGGAAGAGAGCATTATAGGGGATGTTAGGGGTCGTGCCAGGAAATCAGAAATCAGACAACTTACACCAGTCATTCCGACCATCATGGCTCATTGGGTCCGTGATTTATTGCACACCAGGATGAGGTGAGGCGACCAAGAGAGGCCCAGGGCCCTCCATGCCATTAGAACCAGCATCTCTGGCCATGAGAAGATGTTCAGATTATTCTAACTCAGTTCTCCTGGTCAGCTTCCAGTCCAAGGCAGAAAGGCAGGCAGGCAGACTTCAAGGGACCCAGACCCCCCAGAGGCCTGGAACTTAAGTAAGGCATCAATCTCCATCCCTAACAACTGCTTCTAATGGGAACTCTTCTTCCACAAACTCATCACATCACTTATCAGTTAAACAAGCTTCCGCCAATTCAAGCTCAGAACTACACACAGACCCCCACGCAAAGTACCTCCTACCCCATTCATCTCTCTCAGGCCTCCTTAGAGGCTCCTACAATCTCAGGGCAATTAGAACACAGGCCCTTCCTTGCTGTGCTCAGCCTGCAGAGCCGCCCCCTCTCTGGGCATGGTTGCCATGACTGTTACTGAGGCAGTTGAACCAGCTGAGGCTTTAGGTCTCTGTCCCTGCCCTCATCCCAACCCCAGGGGCATCCCTTTTACTGCCAGCCCTAACTCATCCTCCATTACCCCCAGAACCCAGAATGATCAAGAGGCTCAACCATTCTCTGTGCTCGTAAGTCCTTCCTGATGATTCACTTCATCTGCTTCCCACCCTGGGTGGGGATGGCATAAGCCCTCCACTCCTGGCCCTAGGATGAGCCAGCTCAGTTCTGAGGGCTTAGAGAAGCCAAGTCAGATGCTGAGGTTGAGGGGAGAATGAGAGGTGGGGCTTCCAGCTGGCAGGCTGGCTACAGCTGCCTCTCCACCCACCCCCCATCCCCAGGCTGACTGTCCATAACCATAAGCGCTTCCATATTACTTCCCTGCTCCACCTCCACCTGCTGTCTCCATAGCTCCCCTTCTCAGACCCTGCCTGGCCCAGGGGCTGCACTAGCCACTTGCCCACAAAGCCTCCCAGGGCAAGGCTCACATCCTCTTTCAAAGAATAATAGAGTTGCTAGCCAGGGTCTTCCTTCCATCCCATCAATGCTCACTAGCCTGTTCCACCTCAGCTGGGTCCACCATTCAGGGAGGGACAGACCGCACTTAACTCTGGGAGCAACCCAGTCCTCTGCTGTTCCTGTTTCCTGTTACCCCTAGCGAACCCCAACAGAACCTCGAGTTAGCTCCTGGAGACAACTCTTGAGACCCCTCACTTTTACACACACACAAACACACCACACTCTGGGAATGCTTGGGAAAGGAGTATACAATTTTGTTGGAGAGGAAGTTAGGCAGCCACTTTCTGAGTTCCAGCTCCATCAGTCCCCAAGTCTCAGATACATTCTCTGAAGGTAACTTCTGGTCTGAAGAGTGCATAGGATGAATAAAAGAAAGAGATGACAGAAGGAAAGAAGGGCAGGGGACTGGATGCCAGAACAAGGCTCCCTACAGGCCCCAACACCATGGGGGATCAGGCCTCACACTGGGAACAAGGACCCCTTGCCGGGCTGGGCTGAACCTGAGCTGTTGGGTGGAGCACAGAGGAGCAGAGGGGGTGCGGGGCTGGGGGTTCCACTCACTGGCAGGTAGTACATCCCGTCCAGGTGCCCTGCCTCAGAGGCCCAGGGTAGCTGGGGGCCGCTGAAAGCCGGCGGGCCCGGGGATGGCGGCATCGAGAGGCTGGAGATAGGCCCATAGGCGGGCGGGTAGAGGCCGGAGCCCAGTGCCAGCGGGGTGTAGACGCGGCGGGGTGGCCCCGGGGGCGATGGCGGCAGCAGCACCTCTACGTATTGCCCGCTCTCTGGGTCGAAAAGCAGCCGTAGCCGAGGCTGCCGTGGCGCCTCCACAAAGTAGTATCGGCCGCTCTCGGGGTCCACCAGGACCTTCCCCGGGTACGCGGTCCCAGGTGGCTTGCGCGCCCCCTGGAAGGGGCCCTCTGGGGACCGCTCCATCGGTGGCGCTGACGCAGCGCGGGGCTGGGGCGGGGCCGGTCGGCCTGTAGACGCCTGGGGCTCCCGCGGGAGAGACGACTGGGCCACAGTCGCTGTCTCAGGGGCCACACGAGGCGTCTCCAAATTGGGTGCTATCCCAGAACTCAAGCTAGGGTTCGCCTGAGGGGAGCTGGGACAGGCTGGTTTGGGTGGTTGCGGGCCGGCTGGCCCTATGGGCGACTGCTGGGGTGAGGTGCGAGCGCCTTCTAGAGGGCTGGTCCTCCCCTCGCGGTCAGGGACCAGGCGCTGGGTCTCCGCATCCCGGTTCCCTACTCCAGAACCGCGCACCAGGACTCCCCCGGTTCCCTCCGGCCGGCGGCCCAAGGCCAGTGCACCGGGCAGGCGGATCTCAGTGCGCGCGAAGGGTTTCGCCGTGCTGTTCTCTGCTCTCCGCCTCAGGACCCCGTTGGGCTGCGAAGCGTCCCGGGGAACTGTGTCGGGGGATGGCTCTGGGAGCTCGTAGGGGTGCGTCACGACTGGCAGAAAGTCCTTGAGATACACAGAAGTGTAGTGAGCTGGAGATGGGGACTCCAGCGCCTGGAACTCTGGTGTCTTGGATGAGCCGCCCTCCTCCCCGCGGGGTTCCGTCGGAGGCGCAGGCAGCCTGGAACCTGGTGTTCCCGCCGGAAAGCTTGGCGCGTACGTGGTCTTCACCATCTTGCGCACGTCGCGGGGCCTCGGAATGGCCACGCGCGGTCGTCCCGAGGCTTCTTCTCCAGGGCCCGAGACTTCCCGGTGCGCATCGGCATCCAGGGAGCCCACGAGGCGACTGAGGGGCAGTTCGGGTGCAGCCACTTCTGACGACGGCTGACTGCCTTGGAAGGCAAGATTCTGCATCTTCCGCGTGGGCCGACTCTGTGCCTCTGTGAGCTCGGGAGTCCTGGGTACGGACGGTCTAGGCAGCGCCAGCTCCTCTTGTCCTATCCCATTTAGAGCTTCTGACGTGGATACTGTCGAAGAGCCCTGCAATGTGGGATCCCACGTCTCTTGGGGAGATGGGTTCCATGTCCCATTAGTACGTTCTGGAGCCTCCAGTGAAGACAAGGCCGGCGGGGACGGGCTCCTACTGCCCTCCGATGTATTCCCAACTGCCGCTTTCGGAACCTCCCATAGGTTAGGAGCTTCGGGGGATGGGCTTCTTGTCCTGACAACATCCTGATTCCACTGAAAACGGGTCGGTGGGGAAGGACTTCTTCTGCTGACAGTTTCTTCGATAGCAGGATCCTGATTTCCCCAGGCAGAGGATCCCTCGGGGAACAACGGGCTACTTACTCTCCGAATAGCTCGATTCCACGTGGGCAGATTCTGGGGGGACGGGCAGTGAGGACCCCGTACGGTCCCATTTGGAGCCTGCCACAGCGGGGACGAGCTCCTAGGCTGCCCAGCCTTATTCGGAACCTCCCGGGGGTCCCTAGACTCAAAAGGCGGAGATGGTGCCTTCAGGATGGTTCGATCCAGAGTCTCTCGCGGGAACCGAGTCTTGAGTTCCTGATTGTGCGCCTCCTGAATCTTCTCCCCTGACTGCAGGAAGATACTGGAACTAACCGGACCCAGCGGCTCAGTCCCCGGCGCGGGTTTATCACGCCGAATCGCACGCTCTCTGAGGCTAGGCCACGGCCGTGGTGCCCTGGCGGGGGCTGAACTGTTGTGCACGCGGGGTGGCCGAGACCTGGCCTCCTCTAGGACCTTTCGGGTACTGCGCGCCGTTTCCCGGGTCGCACACTCTGGCCGCCCCGTGGGCCCGAAGGTGGCGCTGCTCCGAGCAGGGGCCGCAGGGCTTAGTTTTCTGGCCAGTGCTGTCTGCACTAGGCCCGCGGCTTCCTGCAGGCGGCCCAGCGACTCGTCCAGGGAGCCAGTGCGCAGAAGCAGTCGGGGGCGCGGCGCGCCCGCCTCCCGCGTGGGACTCCGGGGTCGGGGGCGCAGCTCTATCTGACGCTTGGGCACAGTCCGGGGCCTGGAGGGCTCGGCATGCTCCTCCAGCGCCACCTCCACACACTCGAACTGCGCTGGGGTCCCAGGACTTGGCCCGCGGGGCCGCAGCTCCAGGTAAGTGGCCCAGCGGGAGCCACCGTCGGGGGCCTGGGGCGTCGGTGTTGCGGGAGCAGGAGTCGCAGTCCCGGGCGGAGAGAGGCTGCGGAAAGCTCGAGCGGTGAGCTCTTGCACCTCGCTATCCGCCGCGTCAGAGCGGCTGAACAGGGCCCCGGCGCCGAAGATGACTTCCATCTCCCCCGACGGCAACATGCGCAGCTGGGGCTGGGGTGACCGCGGGCCGGAGCCCGAGCCTCGCGGGAAACCCGAGCCGGTCTCGAGCTGCTGGCGGCTATTCTGGGCGCTGACGGACAGGCGAGGCTGCGCGCCCGCCCCCAGCGCAGGGGCCACCCCGGGCCAATTCGTCCGGCACTCCGCGTCCGGCCCAAGGTCCAGGGGCTCTGGAGAACCCGGAGCCGTGTGGTAGGAGCCTGACGAACCGGAGGAGTCCTGGCGCCTGGCGGGGGCCGCAGGCAGCTGCCTTGAGAGCCCAGGCAGGGCTGCCGGTGCGAGCGCGATCAGCATGGTGGGGCTGGACGCCGCGCACTACCTCCCTCACGTTAGCCTCCGCCGGTGCCGCGGACGCCCGCACTGTCCCCGCCCCGCCCGCGGGTGTCGTGGGGGTCACCGCGCCTTAAAGTGGCCGCGTCCGCTCGCGAATCGGTGGCGTCGCCAGCAGGAGAGACTTGGGCCCTAGGCTTTACCTTTCCAGCTTTCCCTTCTGGCGCGGGCCAGAGGACTAGGGTGGCTCTCCAGGCTTTGGCTGACTTGAAGGTGAGGGGAAAGCAGGTGTGCAACTTGAAGCCAGGGGCTAGGCCCATCTCCACTCCTCACAGGCTAGGAAACAGGCTGAGCAGGGACCTGCTGACAACCTCCATGGTGGTGTGGATCAGAATGTGAGCCAGGGGGCCAGGATCAGAGTTTCAGGCCAGGCAACTCAGATATTGCGAGCAATTTCATCTTCTTAGCCCCCCCGTGTCTTTGCATCATCTGAGTGCACCCCGTCTCCCCAGCCTTATCACGTGTCCTAGCTAGATAGAATTCATAAGGGTGTACCCACCACTTTCCTTGACCCATTATAGCCCACAGTCTTTTATGGAAAGCATTGCTTGGTGGGCTCCCCTGACTCCAAAAGTTGTGCTAGGGCCTCAGGAAGGTGCTGTCCCTGGCTGGACCCATTGCTTTTCTTGGGAACATACTGGAAGGGGCTGGAGTGGACGGCTCTAATGTTCCCAGACTGCCTTGGCACCTAGAACAAACCCTAGATGCTGATGTGGGGTCTCTTAGGAAACTCTGGGGTAGCTGTGGCCCCCTGTCTAAAGACTCTCTGAGGCACAAAGAGCTCTGATCTCTTCCAGACATTTACAAAGGCCCTCACTCCAGCCCCCACAACCTCAGGACTCACCCTGGGGACAGGCATTAGTGGGGAATGCCACCACCTGTCAATATCCCTGGGACAATGACAATGGGCACCATTTACCCTTAAACATCTGGCTTCAAGTTCCTGCTATGATTCAGGCTCCAGCTGGCCTTGGAGCAAAAGCACCAGCACCCCCAGCCCCACTGTATCCATCCTCACACTGACCCAGGTTAGGCTAGACTTGACGAATCTGACTCAGCCTCCGACTGGGTTCCCTGCCTGAGTGTGTCCCCATGATCACCTAGCCATCAGAGATAGCTTATGAAAGGATCAAGCCTGCCTATCATCTAGCCCCACATATGCAACTTTAGCAAGTCCTAGACCCTTCAGAGACTTCCCTCACCTTAAAAATAGACAGCAGAGTCCTTTTCCCTTCCTTCCCTTTGTGAAGACTTGAGCTTCTGTTTGGGAGAAGTGTAAGAAGGTGCAAGTGTGAGTCACAGGTATAACATTCTTGTTACAGGATGGAAATTGATTTTCTGAATTCACTGTGGTCCTGGAACCCATAGTCTTTGATGTCTCTGGTCAGGACTTTACTCACACATACACACAGCCCTTCCAGCTCTGTAGCCAAGTTGGGAGAGTTAAATTTACCAAGGCACTGGGACTGGGGTGGGGTGTTTACAGGTAACCAGGGGTAACCAGAGCTGTTTACATAGGGAGGGATTAAATACCAAGAGTAGGAAGGACAGTGCCTATTAGACAACAAAGTAGTCCTCCTCTAGGCTACACCCCCACGCTTTCCCTCCCCCTACTATCCAAGGGTGGGAGGGAAGTGGCCTGGGGCTGGAGACATGAGCAGCATCCTTTTCTGAGCCAAGGAAGAGCCTGGAAGGTGGCGGTCCAAGGCCTGTCCCCCACCCAGTCCCTGATAACTTGATTCTCCCTCTCTCATGAAGGCCCAGGAGGCAGGCAAAGAGAAAAGAGTACCTTCTGCCTCTTCCCTGGGAGTAAGGGCACTGGTAAGGCCTGACGTAGGGGCAGAAACCCACAGGGATAGAAAGGGTAGGGACGGGGACCCCCACAGCAGAGAAGGCAGAGGTCGGGTATTACACCTACAGAACAGGAAGGCGACGACCATTTTATTTTTCCCTGGGACGCTGGTGGCTCCGGGCCTGACGCGTCCCCGAGGCTTTCTTATGCTTCTGGTCCAGCACTTGGGCCATGTAGTTCTCCTGCTGCTTCTGGATCCGGTAGTCAGACATGTGATTCCTGCAATGGAGCAGGCTGGGCATGGACTGGGGACAGTCTAGGGTAGGGGCCAGAGAGCTGGCTCCCCACTTCCATCAACAACCCCCAGACTGGCCCAGACCCCTCACCTGAAGATCTGTTTCTGCTGGCTGATAACTTGCTGCAACTCCTTAATCTCATTCTCTTTCCCATTAAGTATATCTTCTTGCTTTATAATGTGAGACTCAATTTCTGTGGGGGAGAGAGGCAGGGAGGAGGCGTGGTTCCCATCCAAAGGGCTCCTTCCTGAGATAAGGCATTTATTCCCTTATGGGTCTTCTCAGAACTTGGTTCTCCCCACCCAAGGGGTTCTCCACAAGTAGCTGTTAACACCTTGGTAGGAATGAGTTTATTATGGAGTTTGACAGGATGGTGGCTGAGCGGCACAATGTCTGCTGCGTGTGTCAGTGATTTCACAACTCTATTCTGGACCAGGTGACTCACATGAAGGCATGAAAAGGCCTCTACAGAGAAATGGACAGTGCTGCCCAAAGGCACCAGGATGAATGGCTCATGCCCCTAACTCCTGCTGATCTTTACAGATAGCATCACCTTGGCAAGACCCTTCCTGGTCTAAAGTACAACCTCTCCCAATAGTTCCTATCCCCTTTTCTTACTTTCTTCTTAGCACTTATAGCTAATATACCACAGATTTTACTCACTTTTCTTCTCTACTAGGATTTACATCAATGAAATCCATAAGGATAAGGCTTATTTAAATTTACTGCTTTAATCCTAAGGCCTAAAATCGTACCTGGCACATAGGAGGTACACAATAAATTCATTTGTGGAATGAATGAACAGGATATCCTCTGGGGGTTTAGGACTTAGAAACATCACTTAGTTTAGTCATCTCAATCCAACCAGACCTACTGAGGGCCAGCTGGAGGCCCAGCCATGTGCTAGGGCTTTAGGAGAGAAGACAAGGTCCCTGCCCTCAAGGAGGCAGCTCCTGAAACAGAATTAAGACTCAGGAACTGATCAGAGAACAGAAGGTGATGTGTTTCAACAGTGTTAATACTGATGAGACAGTATTGCCACTTTGGGCAACTTGCCTCCTTTTCTAGACCCTTTTCCTCATCTGTAATATGGCGACAGGGACAGCAGAGGGGCGTGAGGAGGGCCCAGGAAGATGGTGGTGACAAAGCTTACCCCAAATTAAGGGCTCATTAGATGCAAGGATGATTTTAGTGCCTTGCATCGAAACTGAAAGAGTTTGTAGGGATGGGGGGGGCGGTGCTTCATCTATATAAACTGTCCCTTAGGGAGTCCTGGAAAATTCTGATCCCCCTAGGAAGAAAATCCCGCTGCCTTTAAAGATCGGACAAACATTAACTAGAACAGAAGCTCTAAAAAATGTAGAAATACTGAAGTATTTAAGGTTTCAAAAGAGAAGATTTGGTAAAGTTAAGGGACAGCATAGAAAAGAGGAGATGAAGACAGAGGAGAAGGAAGAGAATGAAAATGAGCTCACTGGGTCATAGGACCAGGCCTATTGAACCTTCTTCCCCAGGTCATGCAGATTGATTGATTGTGAAGTTCTTTTGGGAAAAGGTATCAGAAATTTATGTGACTCTTTTAAAATAAATTAGAGATAAATTTAAAATAAAGAGCACCCACTGAGAGAACGGTTAGAAAATCCCTTTGAGAAAAATAAGAAGCTATGTAAGTATAAAAAACAAACTAAAACCACATAGAGGGAGGTTAGGGGGCGGGGAGGGTACAGGCCAGGGGAAGGCTCAAGTCATGAGATTTGCTCAGGTGAGGGCTTGTGTCCCACTGGAGGGGTATGTGACATTCTGTGGGGAGGCAGCCAGGGTCCATCCCCATCACATACACACACACACACCCCTTCCACAAACAGATGCAGAACACCATGGCCTTGGCTGGTCTCTAAGAAATGCTCTAGTATCACCAGAAAAGAACTCTAGGTTTCTTTTAGGGAAGTATGGGGACAGGCAGAGAGAAAGGAAGGACTGGAGTCTGGTAGCCTAGGGTATGGAGGCAGTGACTGCCCCAGGAGTCCCTACTGAGAGCCCTTGGTCAAACAGCCACGAGGCCTGTCAGCCCACCTAGTAAGATCAAGATATCAGCATGGTGGCATCTTACTAGTGAGAGTACTCACCAAGGGAGAGAGAGGGCTGGATTGATAGGGATAGGGTGCCCAAGACTTCAGGTGGCAGCCCATCAGGAGGGACCCTGAATCTCTTTTGGAGTTGGGCTCTGATCTCTGGCCTACTCAAAATCTGCTGCAATGTTTGAAGCAGATGTTGCATGTGGAATTCAGATCTGTTCCGTAAACTAGGTAAGGGGAATTTAGTGTTCTGGGAAACTGAAAGGGGTTCCGGAGATCTAGGGACACTGGGTGGCTGACAGAAAGTGCCCCACAGCTCATGGCACTGACTGAGCCAACAAAGGGCCACATACATCTGCAAAGAGCAGAGATGAAAACTAATGGCCTACGGACATATTATACTTGGCCTGTACAATAGTTTTAAAATTTCTAATTTTAAATTAGAAAATTTTAAATTGGTAATCTTCAGTTACCAATACTAAAAAGTCAGAAAAGTTTCCATTAAAAACTGGCTTCCAGTTTCTTTTTTAAGGATCTGACAATACTGGGGCCCCCTTTCCCACAGCAGAGGCACTAAGCCCTTGAGAGGGGGCACGGCTCTTTCCGTCACCACAGTCCCCACTCCTCCCTACTGAGTCTCTCTGCGTCAGCTCCCAGATAGGACTGTGCTTGACCTGTTGTTCCTCTTGTAATAGTTATGAGTAAAGTACACTATTTCTAATACCCATCATAAGTGGGAAAACAAAAGGTGGACTAAGAAGGTCGTGTGTTTCAAGAAAAATGGGAGCAAGCCCGTTTCTTTATGGCCATGAAGAATATTGTACACCAACTGCTTCCCTTATTTCCGTGGCCTGCCTGGTCCCTGAAGGCCTTTGCGATGGTGTGGCCCGCCTGGGCCTCCTGGTGTCCTCAGCCGGGGGTAGAAGTTGGGGTGAAACCCTGCCCTGGACACAGGCACTGGGCTGTTAGGGAAGAGCCCATGTATGTAAGCGTGGGGGGGAGCACGGGCCTCCCGCCTACCATTGCACTTGGTGATGAGCTGGTCCTTCTTACTGGATTCCTGCAGGGCTCTGCTCTTGACACTAGACAGCCTGGGTGGAGTAGATAAGAGAGGTTGGGAAGGCTGACAGGCAGACTGGATCCCCAACCCTTCACTCCCCTACCAAGGTCCACTCACGCCTTTTCAAAAGCCAGCTTCTCTTTCTCCAGCTGTTTAGATAGTACCTCTACCTCTCCAAGGGCAAACTGCAACTTCTCCTCTTCCTTGGCCAGGAGGACCTTGGTCTTGGCATGGGCAGCTTTCTCTTCCTGTAGGAGCAGAAGCACCTCATTACCCCCAAGCCACCCTAGGTCTCCTAGGTTCCCTTAACCAGCTCCATTTCTCAGACGGGCACAGAGAAGCCAGGGCACAGGAAGATTCTGTCCTCACTACTGGGGCTGAAGGCTGTGAGACGCCAATAATAAATGTGTCCATCGACAGGGAAATCCCAGGAAATGGGGGAAGATCAGGAGGCCAATACTTACCACCAGCTTCTTCTCTACTGCCTGGAACTCTTCTTTACTGACAAAATTTTCATCCTGGAGAACCATCTGCAACAGAGCCTGGCTCAGGGAGGGCCTGGGGCTGGAGTGGAAGGGCTACTCTCTAGGGACCAGGACCAAGGTTAGACAATGGGATGATATCCAGGGCACCTAGGAGGAAACTTAAGTCTGAACAGGGAGAATTTGGTTCCATAAGGTTCACAGAGACTCAGCTCTAGGTCCTTCCCTCAAGGAGCAACCAGTTTGATTTAAGATATAGCCCATGGCCAGTACTTCCAACACGGTGTGTGCTATGATGGAGAAGCACAAAAGGCTGTGGTGCCCAGAGGAGGCCCCTGGCCTAGGGAAGGGTCAGACCTGTTTCTGGAGAAGGGGTCATCAGACATGAGCTCTGACTGCTAAACAGGGGTGGGCAGAAGAGGGGGGTGGAACAGAAAAGTGTTCCAGATGGTGAGAACATACATGCAAAGGTCAGCTGCAAAGAAAAGCTGGGTACCCTCAGGGATTGCAGGGAATTGAGTGCCTGGAGCTGCATACACCCATTAGAGTGAGAAATAGATGTTAAGTCAGTTTTGTTTCTGAAATGGAGATATCTCTCAGCTCTCTTATCAAGATAGAAAATAAAAACAGAAAAACTTTTTTTTTTGAACTTCAGCTGGCTAGGATTTTACCATGCCTGTCCGGGTGGCTCCAATGCTTTGAACTCATAAACTAGGGTTTGACTGAGAAGGCAAAAACAAAGGTACATAAAGGGGTCGCAGGCCCTTGAGTTAACATGTGCAAGGGTCAAGCCTGTGCTTGCTGCACTCAAAATGGCGCTGCATTAGACACTGGGGAGGGGATGTCCACAATAGAAAACACATTATATTTTCAATACCTGCATCTAAGAACCCCTGGGAAGCCAATGAAGTCATCTCCAATTAGAAATGGGGAAATTGAGACTCAGTGAATACAGGGGGATATATCTACCACGCCTTACACCACCAGACAGAGAGCAGAAAACAACTTAATTTTGATTTAAATTCCTTGGAAAATAATCATGAAGACCTTGCTTGCCCCTTTTTGGTTCCATCCCTACCAGCCAGAACATATCCGGGTCCCGCCTCCTCCGGATGACGCCATTGGCTACGTGCTATAAGCTCGCCTTTGGTGTCGGGACAGGGTCTACCCCGCCCCCTCCATTTAGGTGTCTAGTCCGGCCCTCCCCCAGTCTTGCGGCTACATACCACATTCCTCAGCTGGTGAATCAGTTCCTCCTGAGATTCGATCACGTCCCGCAGTTGATCGAAAGCGAGACACACTGATCCTGACCCCCACTGCGACCACCCGAGGGGCGTCGCCATCTTTCCCCCCCGCCAGCTCGTTGGAAATGCTAGTGTCAGGGTGCCTCACCCACCGACGTCCGCCAATGAGAATGCGACGCCATAGAGCACCGTGGCAACCGGGGGCGGGGACTTTCTTTGTTAGTAGGGATGGGGTCCGCCTCTTAAAGGAGCCGCTCTCTTAAAAGAGCAGCCTGAGGTGGAGGAACCTCTAACAACCAGTAAGGATTTAACTTTATAGTTTATTTGCACACCTGTGTTTATTTGCACATCTTGTGTTCGTGAAGAGGAGCAGGCGGGGCCCGGCTTAGTAAACAGACCTCACTCAGACAAGGGACCTCAGCCTTATCCCAAGGCCTGTTAAACTGCAAGAGCTGTGAAGCAAGAGCCAGTTAAGGCAACCCCTACGTTTTTAACCTAACAAGCCTCTTTCTCCCACCCTAATTTCTAGATTTTACCCAGAGTATGAGATTCCAGTCTCCTGTGATTTCTTTTCCGAGTATGAATGCACTTAGTATTTAGGCGATCTGTATTTAGGTAGCGCAGACCAGAAAAGGAGAGTGGCCTCACCCAAGATAAGAGTCCTCATGGGGCGCCTGGGTGGCTTAGTCGGTTGAGCGTCCGACTTTCGCTTAGGTCATGATCTCGCGGTTCGTGGGTTCGGGCCCCGCGTCGGGCTCTGTGCTGACTGCCAGCTCGGAGCCTGGAGCCTGTTTCAGTCTGTGACTCCCTCTCTCTCTGACCCTCCCCTGCTCACGCTGTCTCTCTCTCTCTCTCTCTCTCTCCTAGAAATAAAAAAAAAAAAAAAAAAAAGAGTCCTCATATTCTGGTACCAGGTTGTTGGCAGCCACACTGGAGCCATGTGCCACCATGTCAGGGTGCTGGCGACGGCCCTGAAGAGATCAGGAGAACTGAAGAGGGCATGAACGGAGGTAGACAAGGATAAAGTGATCACACAACCCCATTGAGGATATAGGGGGATCATCACATCCCCATTGAGGGTTTTTTTCGAAACCTAAATAAGATTAAATAAGCTTAGGAAAAATCGGAGCTAATATTTACTGAGTATTCACTATTCTGTGGCATTATTATGCTTTTTCATGTGATCTTCACAATAACCTTGGGAAGTAGGTTATAATATCCTTATCCAGGTACTATGAAAATGAGTAACTTGCCAAGGTCACCTAAACTAGGAAGCCCTGGAACAGGGTTTTAACATGGGAAGTTTGATTTCAGAGTCCATGTTCTTAACCGTGATGCTCTGTTGCATTTTTGTTGAACATATTCCATACTAAAGCTATGGAATTTGATACCCCACAGGCAGGAAATGACTATATTAAGGAGTTTGGAAAAAGTGTTATCAGTGACCAGGAAAGGAAGCTGAAAATTCAGGTGGGCCACTCGGGCTGCTCCCCAAAGGTTCTTAAGGACCTATTTGGGGTTGGAATTTGTGGCCCGATAAATGTGACCATTCCTGTGGGTCTCCTGGTGGTAGCCCTTGTTTTATCTTTCCATATTTCTTGTTTTTGTTCTCACACCTTGAGAGCAAGGCCATTTTTGTTGGCCAATCTTAAAGGGCCTAGAGCAGTACCATCCAATAAAACAGAGGTGAAGGATATAGTCTATATCTGCACTGTCCAATACCGCAGCCACTAGCCACATGTAACTGTTCAGCACTTGAAATGCGGTTCATGTGACTTGAGAAATTGTTTTAAATTATTAAAAATTTTAATTAAATTTTTAATTTAAATGGCCATAGCAGCTTATGGCTACTGTGTTGGACAGCATGGGCCTAGAAGGTGCTGTGTAGGTTGTGTGCCTCAGCATAGAACCTTCTTGGAATTTTGTCTATCAAATGTGAGTGTTCACCTGAATCACCCTGGACAAAGGTGCACATTCCTTTGGGGGAGGAATACCTGGATTTTCCCTTTGGACTGTCTCTTCTTTCTTGAGTCTTTAATGAGGTGCTACTTTTTAATTTTTTAAGTTTATTTATTTTCAGAGAGAGCGCGCATGAGCAGGGGAAGGGCGGCAGGCAGCAGTTGGGAGAAGAGAATCCCAAGCAGGCACCATGTGGTCAGCACAGAGCCTGATGCAGGGCTTGAACCCACAAAACCATGAGATCATGACGTGAGCTGGAACCAAGAGTCAGATGTGTTTAACCAACCAGGTGCCTCCGTTTGATATCCCTTGCCGTTCACATTTACCCCCAGAAGCTGGAATAGGCGGCCCCTGGGGCAAAACTCTGGAGTGCAGGAGTCTCCACAAGTTCCCTGGGAGGGAAGGTTGTGAGCAAGAGAGAACCCTGGATCCAGGTGTGCCCCCTGGATACCTGCATGAACATGATGAATGTCCTCTGGTTGAGGACTGTCACAGACTCTCTGTATGTCAACAAACACACCAGGCTCCTGGCCACCCAGGGCTCAGTGAGACTCAGGATGACATGACATCACAAACAGCTCTGTGATCCTGCCCCGGAAAGTGTTGCCTTTCTGCACAAGGTTGTCATCCTGGTTGATGTTCCCATTATCTGTTGCTGTATAACTAACCGTCTAAAATTTACAGCTTAAAAAAAATCATTTTACTCAAGAATCTTCCATTTAGGTGGGGTTCAATAGTGAAAGCTCATCTCTGCTCCCTGATGTAGTATCAGATGGGATTCCTGGCAGGGAGTGGGAATGGAGACGCTAGAAATTCTGTTTCCAAGGTGGCTCATTTATATAACTGGCAAATTAGTGCTATCAGCTGAGAGCTCATTTGAGCCTGAGGACCAAGGTTCTTGTTCCTCCCCGTGGACTGTTTAGGCTTTCTTATAGCATGGTGACTAGGTTTAAGAGAAAGCATCCAAAGTGATAGGAAATGGAAGATGGCTGTGGCACCTGGGTGGCTCAGTCAGTTGAGGGTCCAACTTCGGCTCAGGTCGTGATCTCACATGTGGCTTTGAGCCCTGCGACGGGTTCTGTGCTGACAGCTTGCTCAGAGTCTGGAGCCTACTTCAGATTCTGTGTCTCCTTCTCTCTCTGCTCCTCCCCTGCTTGCTCTCTGTCTCTTTCTGTCTCTCAAAAATAAATAAATGTAAAAAAAATTTTTTTAAGGAAATGGAAGATGGTTAGTTCCTTAAGCGTTGGGCCTAAAAACCAGCACAGTGTAATTTCTGCTATATTCTATTTGTCAGGGGGCCTCAGGATTCAAATTCAAGGAGAGAGGACACATCCCACCTGCTGATAGGAGTAGTTTCAAAGAATTGTTTCAAGGTTCAGCTCAGATAAAACCAGAATGAAACTTAGTCTAACGGGGGAGACAATCATCAAAAAAATACCTACTTAAATTGTAAATTAAGTCATTGTCCAAATAAATAACACTATAGCTATGACAGGTGCTAAGAAAGAGAGGCATGGGTATTTTTTTAATGTTTACTTATATTTAAGAGAGCAAGACAGAGCACAAGTGGTAGAGGGGCAGAGAGAGAGAGAGAGAGAGAGAGAGAGAGAGAGAGAGGGAATCTGAAGCATGCTCTAGGCTCTAAGCTGTCAGCAGAGCCAGATGGTGGGGCTTCAACTCACAAACCACAAAATCATGACCTGAGTTGAAGTCCGTCACTTAACCGACTAAGTCACACAGGTGCCCCTGTATTTTCTTTTTTAAAGTAGGCTCCATGCCCAGTGTGGGGTTTGAATTGATGACCTTGTGAGTAAGAGTCATATGCTGTACCTAGGGGTGCCTCGGTGGCTCTCTCTGCGGACAGCACAGAGCCCGCTTTGGATCCTCTGTCTCCCTCTCTCTGCCCCTCCCCAGCTTGTGCTCTCTTTCTCTCAAAGATAAATAAACATTAAAAAAAAGAGTCATATGCTCTTTTAAATGAGCCAGATAGGTGCCCTGGAATGAGAGTATTTTAAAGGAGGTTTTACCTAGTCTGGGGTGTCAGGAAAGGTTTCTGTGAGGAAGTGGGATGTTTGAGCTGAAACCTATTAAGATAAACCAGGAGGCGCTTAACAAAGCAGGTATAGGCAGGTGAGTGGGAAAGGGTTTCACAAAGAGGGAACAGTATATATAAGGTCCCTGGGGCAAAAGGGATCCACAAACTGTAGTAATTAAAAGGCTTATATGGGGGCACCTGGGTGGCTCAGTCAGTTTAGCGTCTGACTCTTGACTGTGGCTCAGGTCATGATCTCATTCTCTCTCTCTCTCTCTCAAAAAAAAAAAAAAAAACACTAAAAAAAAAGGGTAGTGTAGCAGAAAAGAAAAAGATAGATGTACAGGGCAAGCAGGGTCAGTGGCCAGAAACTTGGTAGAACCTTGTTAAGCATTAGGCTACATGAAGAACTTTGATGGTTTTTTTTAAATGTTTTATTTATTTCTAGGAGAGAGAGAGAGGGAGAGAGAGAGAGACAGCATGAGCAGGGGAGGGTCAGAGAGAGAGAGGGAGTCACAGACTGAAACAGGCTCCAGGCTCTGAGCTGGCAGTCAGCACAGAGCCCGACGCGGGGCTCGAACCCACGAAGCGCGAGATCATGACCTAAGCAAAAGTCGGACGCTTAACCGACTAAGCCACCCAGGCGCCCCAAACTTTGATGGTTTTTATTCTGGGAGCAAAAGAAAGCTACGGAAATATTTTAAGCAGGAGGGCAACATGATTTATGCTCTGGGAAGATCTCTCTGGTTGCAGCAAGGTGTATAGATGGGAAGTGGCCCTGAGTAGATGCACAGAGACTACTTAAGAAGCTATTGCAGTTTTGGGGCACCTGGATGGCTCAGTCAGTAAAACCTCTGACTTCAGCTCAGGTCATGATCTCATAGTCTGTGGGCTTGAGCCCCACATCAGACTCTGTGCTCACAGCTCAGAGCCTGGAGCCTGCTTCAGATTCTGTGTCTCCTCTCTCCCCTGCTCACTCTCTGTCTCTCTCTCAAAATAAAGACATTTTTTAAAAGTTTTAAAAAAAGAAGCTATTGCAGTTTTTATCAGAAAAAGCTGCTGGTAGTTTGGGAGTCAGATGGTGTCAGAGGAGATGAAGAGAGTAGTTGGATTTAGAATGTTCTGGAGGTCAAACGGATAGGATTTAACGAAGGAGGGAATACGGGGGGAAAGGGTGCCAAGGTTGGTTGTCTACTGCTGCAAACAAACCACCACAGAATGTGATGACTTAAAACAGCAACTATATTGTCATTTGCTCATGACTCGGCAGTTTGAACAGGGCTTGGTGGGACAGCTTATTTCTGTTCTGCCCATCAGCTAACGTGGCCCCAGCAGCTCAGCTTGGATCTTCTGTCTGGGTTCTCAGTCCTTGCTGCCAGCTCACTTGTTTGGTTCTCCTCTCCTCTGCATGGTTTCTCCATGTGGTTAGCTTAGTGGTCTCAGGGTGGTTGGACTTACATGGCAGCTGGCTTCCCCTAAGTGCAAAAATGGAAGCTGCTAGTTTTGCCATGTTCTCTTGGTTAAAGATCAAAGGCCATTTCAGATTAGAAAGGGAACTACGCAAGGGCACAAATATTAGGCATGGTCCTATGGGGGGCTTCAAAATAAGTCTACCACACAGTTTCCTGGCTTTTTGACTTTTGCACTTGGATCAATGGTGGTGCTATTCATGGAAATGGAAGCATTCAGAGTGTTTGTCCATCTTCTCTTAAAAAAAGAAATCATTGCAGGGAGGCCTGAGTGGCTCAGTCGGTTAAGCGTCCAACTTGGGCTCAGGTAATGATCTCACATCCATGGGTTTGAGCCCCACATCAGGCTCTGTGCCGACAGTTCAGAGCCAGCTTGGGATTCTCCGTCCCTCTCTCTCTGCCCTTCCCCCACTTTCTCTCTCAAAAATAAACATTAAAAAAAAATCATTGCATTCTGTAAGAAGGGTGACCAAATTTCAAGTCTCTCTTCCTCAGAGTTGCTTTCACCGAAGCCTCAAACTGGATCACATTCCTCCGTTAAAAATCCCTAAGTTTTTCTTGGTTTCCCCTTTGACATTCATTCCACTGGGGAGCATTGTCTAAAGTTAGCTTGCCCTCAGATATGAGCTCCAGTGCTGGTTCTTACTTGTTCCCCAATCCCCATCCCCAAAGCTCAGCCTGCCTGACACACAATAAGCTCTCCATCTTTGCTGAATTGCATCTCATCTCCATCTTTCTCCTACTGAAAGATAGTATGAACTGTGTACTGAGTTTGCGTTGTTGTTGTTTTTTCAGTAATCTCTACACTCAAAGTGGGGCTTGAACTCATGACCCTGAGATCAAAAGTCACATGTTTTTCTGACTGAGCCACCCAGGCACCCCCATGTACTGTATTTTTTAAACCAAGACTTTCCTAAAATATGGGTCGTTGGGAACGAGGACATTAGGGAACTGGGATAACACCTGATTTTCGGATGCTGGGTAGTTTAGCTCTGTAAGTAGGCTATAATATGCTGCTGCAGCTGCTATTATCTTATAGACAAGAAATATAGAATTGGTGATGCCATCAATGTTATCTATTGTTCTAAATACCAATAATTCCACTGATGGATGAGGGAAGACGGGAGCAGGGACACTAAGCCTTCTCTAGTCCTAAATGACTCTAAGGGAGTCCAGCATTATGTGGTGCCCAAGTGTGTGATGGGTAAAAGAAGAAAGGAAAAATGTAGAGCCATTCTTTTTATATAAAATCGTTTAATTTCTTTCTCTGTTAAAATACACTCAATCCAGATGTAGTGGATCAGGTGACCAGAGTTTTCAGGATTCGTATTCCACCAGGAGCTGATTCCACCTGTGTCAAACCTGGCTCTGGTCACAGAACATTCACGTCTTTAATTCCCAAAACTAAGTGTGATGCAAGTGATGTCATCAATATCGAACACATGGGTATATAGTTACGTGGTGGTCACTGCACGAGGTATCAACAATGCAGGCTCAAACATAGAATGTAGAGTAACTTGGCCTTTCCCCAAAATAAATATTTAGAACACTAAGCTTATACCATAAATGAGTCCAAAATAAATATTAATTAAGAGCTAGCTTCTGTGAGGAACAGGGCATGCAGAGACAATGAACTTGCAGGTGTGGCCAGTTGTAACAGAAAGCTTCTGGAATCCCAACAGCGCCTCCTCACAAAGTCAGTCCTGAGCATGAGGATGAAAATGAGAACAATGCAAGGCTTGGCCAGGCTGCGGGATCCCATGTTCCAGTGGGGTAATTTCTAACAGTTTCCAGCAGAAAGCATAGCAATGGCATTTTCTTACCAGTCACTTGTCCCAAGGTGTGAGGCTTGGAGCTGATCAAGGAAATTCAGAAGTTTTCTGGTTTGAGCAGATGAACCCCAGGGTTGCTAATCTGGGGACATGGATTCCTTGAAGCTGCAGTGTCCTCTGTGTGAGAAGGGTTTTCACCCTATCCTCCTTACTGCTGATCAGGCAGCGCAGAGAGCACTTTCATTCTCATGAATAGGAGCTTCACCTTCTGCTTAAGCCGCTAGCCCTGCTTCTTTACCCCACTTCCCTACCTCACACATCCCCACTCTGCATGAATGCTCACAGAAACAGAGAGAGCTGCACGCCAAGACAGCAAGAATAAGCCTTACCTAAAGAGTTTATATGTGATCAGGAAACCTTCCAAAAGATGGAGGCAAGAGGAAGATGCTTATTTTACCATCATGCAGACAATCCATTGAAAATAGAACCCAGGAAGTCACAGTTTAGCCATATTCTGGACCGTACCAAGTAGATGAATCTATTCTTCAAAGTCAAATACTCTTCTATTGAGGAAAGCCGGATGTGAGTGTTGTAGTCTATTAGGTAATAAATACAACATTTACCACATTTTACCAACATTTTAAATCAGTGCTTTAAAAACAGACAAGAGATCTGACATCTAATGGTGTCAGTTTTGCCTCTATTTAGTACTATCACAGATAATTCATCTCTGCCACGAAATCTATGTCAAGTCAATTTAATTATGGCCCATTTTCTAGCAGAGATTGAAGTTGGGGACAGAAGAGCTTTGATTTTTATGTGTGTAAGAAAACTTTCCATAAGCCTGTTTGGCTCACAGGTGTATTGTATAGTGTAAATCCCCTCAATTACTCAGAAAGGATTAAGGAAGTCCCCCAAACCAGGAACACAGACCTAATTGGGCAGCAAAATCCGTCATTTCTGGAGCTGCTGCCTCCCCACAGCTGAGCAGTTGCCCCCATCAGCCCCCTATCAGCTATCAGAGATCCTCTCATCACCTCTAGACCCATCTCCTGACCCTGTGGAATGTCCATGTTGAACCATACTAGACACATCTGCCTAAGTCATGGCTATGAATCTGAAAGGAGAATCTCTACTTTGGAAATCAGTTTTAATAAAGGAACTTTTCTTCCATCCTGAAGAAAACATGGAGTGCAGACTACAGTCATCTACTGATTTGCCAGGTTCTGATTCATAATGATCTAGGCAGCTCAGTCCTGGCAGCTCACCTTGTCTAGGACCCAGAACCACAGGGCCAAGACAACAGCTTACCTCTTCCTTGCCACCAGTGGGAATGGCTGCCTGCCTTTGATGCATCTCTTGCTTTGTATACAGAATCGTTATAGAGAGGGTCTTGCTTCTACAGACCATGGAAGAAGGTATCCTGAATGAATGCAGGACGGCCATAAAAAGGATAAGGGGTCACAGGGTCAGGGGAGACTGGGGCATCCCTGGGAAAGACTATGCCTTAACAGTCTGGCTAGAATCACCAGAGAAATGGGAATGGTCTAATACTTCCTACTTGATAATCAGCCTGGCTTTGCCACTACCCCAATTGTATGACTGGGCCAACCATTTGTCCTCTCTGGGCCAATGTTTTCTTTCATAAAAAAAAGAGGGGGGGTAACATGTCTCCTTCACAGAGTTATGAGGAGGCTAAAGAAAGAAAATATATGCGGGAGCCCCTACTTCATATCAGGCACTCAATAAATGTTGACTACATGGAAAAGCATCTCATATCACAAAATGTAGGGCACTGGGTTAAACATAGTGACTGCTTGGGGCCAATACCAGACCTCCAAAGCCACGGAAAGAGGGTCTTTCCCCGCTAGCTCTAGACCTGAGCAACCATCTTGATGGCCTGGCAATGCCTATTCTTAGGTCTGACCAATGTACTTCCATGGTGTATAGGGACTCTGGTCAAAAGTCATGCTGCAAGAGGAAACTCAGTCTTGTGTTTTACCTTCCTCCCCGGACTCCTGCTCTCTGCTGCTGAGTTGTCCACGGAACTGTTTCACCCAGTAGCTTTTACTTTCTGGACCATCAACAAGGGAGAGGGTTAAGGAAGTAAAAGAAACTCAAATCAGGCAGTTTGCTAATGCTAGTAAATCTAAACAGAGATAGGCAAATGGGAAAACTATCGTCTGTAATAGTTGACATCTCTCCACCTTCCCCTTAGAAAATGCAAAGATGGTGGGCCCATGTTCCAAGGGCTGAATGCTAGGGGACATGATGACTTTCATGAAGGGAGAGGGATCATTCCTGGTGCACACTGTAAACAACTAATATTAAGCTGCTCTGACTATGCCTAGGGACGACTGGGTATTGAGATTTAACTGAAGAAGGAAAGGAGGAAGAAAACATAGATCTGCTCTGGGATGCCTGAACCCCAATCCTAGAGGCAGGGTAGGCATGGAGCAGGGGGCTACATCAAATGCTCTGCCATTAATTCAATTTACATGAACTGTTCATGGCCCTTGGAGTCGATCCCCAGGAAAGATTCTGTGATGACAAGTCTGGCTCCATGCTCAAGTGCCTTTGACTCTGCCCACCAAAGTTAGCAAGTTGAAAAACGTTCATCATTTCCTAATTTTGTATTATAAAATGGAATTAGGAACATAAATAGTAACAAGTAGCAAAACCCCGACCCTGTGTAGGGCCATCATCCTTTCAGCCACCTCTGCGTAGACCAATAAGTTTGGAAAGTTTTTCACAGTTTTCAAGTTTCAGTGACTCTGCCTTCTGTTTCAATCGTTCATCTCTGTATAATCCTGCCAAATTTGTCAATTCCGACTCTGAAAGATAAAAGAGGGAACAGTCCATCAAGAGAGTTGACCTCTGTTTCGCCTCAATATTTCTGGAGTCAAAGCCCCTTTACTTTATTTAATGCTTTTTTTAAAAAAATAAACTTAAGGAACGCTTACTCATTTATTCAAGAAACATGAATCCGGCAGCTACACTGCACCAGGTGCTAAGGATTAAAGGACACCTGTGGTCCCAGAGTCCTACAGTATCCGTGCTCAATTATAAAAGTGCCGGACTTAGTTCTTATCAATAGAACATTTGGCACCAGACTTAGGAAACATGCACGTGTGCAGTAAGAGGAGACTCTGTTTTGTGGCCTTCCTACGAATGGCATTCAGATGGCAGTCGGGAGAGAATGGAGGCCAATCGCCCGTTCCTGTCATCTGAAACAAAGACAGCTGCTCCATTCTGTCCCCTGCTTTGCTGGATCATAACTCATACATGCTAACTGACACAGAGCCTCCCTCCAGTGCGTATGCCTTCTATAGAAGGCCAGGTTGCTGGCGGCTTTCTTCATTCCCTCACCACATGTGGGGTCCCTAACTCAAAGGCCAAAGGCAGCTGGGCTCTTTTAAAAGTGAAATCATCTGGATCCGGTGACCTTTGTCTCCTTGACTAAATGAATTTCATTTTCTCTTCATGGTAGAGAAGGTCATTCTATTTTTAACCAGAATATAATCTCCGCTGTCTTTCCTGACTCAACGGCGGTTTGGCTGCCTCTATTTTTCATTCTTTTGTCAAGTTTCAGAGACGTTCTTAGGAAGGAAAGCCTGAAAAGCACCCCCAGAGACGCGCTGTGTATTAACAGGATGGAACGCTTGGATGGGCAGTGTGGCTTCTGAAAGCCTTCGACAGCAGGCAGCTACTCTGTGTTTAAAGGACCATACTTGTGAAAATGCTATTTTAGCCATTTTGAAATATGTCTATCCATTCTGAATCATCCTGCCAACAGATTTTGTTTTTCTTGGTGGAACGAGAGGCACCTGTCTGATTAATCAGCAAACTGACTAGAAACAGGAATTAATACTTAGCCAGGGGGAACGATGGGCATTGGTTTCTGAATAAGTTTCTATCAACACAAAACACTGTCTGGCATTTCTGCTCACAATGATTCTATTTACACCAAGTAAGGCCCAAAGTGCAGATTAAGTGCAGGACTCCAGGGTGAGGGGTGGCCATGCATGAAAACCCTCCCTCTACAATGGAGGCTCAGAGCCTGGGCCCTAGCCCAGCAGTTGCTTGGCAAGCAGTGTGTCTCCTGGGCCCCAGAACAATGCGCCCTCACCCCTTGGCGCGGGTGCCTGCAGTGCCTGCTAGCCGGAGCTTGCCTTGGCACAGTCATGCTTGCAGGTGACGGGGCTTCCTGGAGGACGTGTGCCACACCCGAATGAGAGCCCTCGGCTCCTGCGGCCTGCCCGCTGCTCTAACTCCATTTCTCTGGCTTCTCCGGCATGTGGGAAACCTGTTCAGGAGGCCTCTGTAAAATCAGTCTATGCCCCTGGTCCTCTGGAGTCACAGCTATGCCAGTATATGGAACAGATTTGGTGGCTTTGTTTTTCCTTGCAATGACTTCCTTAGGTTTTTTGTTTGCTGAGCTTACCTAAATGCCTCATCGCCTGGAATCTCATTCTACAAGACACTAAAGGCTAATCATTCTTACTATTTTCTACAGCGAAGCCCATGCTAAGAAGCTGATGAAGGATAACTGTACATATACGAATGTTTTTCTCAAACTATCACACAGCCATTCATAAACCTCATTAAAACCAGGTTTCTATGCTCCAGAGGTTGAGACCCCTGCTACCGAGCAATGACTTTCCAACAAGGTCCGTGTTTCAAAGAACCAGTCCCAAATGCCCATTACCAGGCTTTGAGAAACTTCTCTCCAAACTGCCAGTGAATGCTTTTGCCCCTTAATGAGTAAACGATCAATTCAACTAATATGTTACTTTCGACATATTTTGACTGTTAAAATTCAGTATAACTTCTAAGTTAAAAAAAAAATCTTTGGAAAGGGCATCAAGAGAACAGCTTTTCTTCCTCACAAAATATTTCCCTTGCCCTGAATGCCAGTGTGATAGAGAGACAGAGTATTGAGGCTTCCAGGGAAACTAACTCAGGCAAATTTCTTTTTTTTTTTCTTTTTTTCTTTTTTAATATTTTTATTTATTTCTAGGAGAGAGAGAGAGACAGCGTGAGCAGGGGAGGGTCAGAGAGAGAGGGAGTCACAGACTGAAACAGGCTCCAGGCTCTGAGCTGGCAGTCAGCACAGAGCCCGACGCGGGGCTCGAACCCACGAACCGTGAGATCATGACCTGAGCGAAAGTTGGACGCTTAACCGACTAAGCCACCCAGGCGCCCCAACTCAGGCAAATTTCTTAAGAAGCACATCCCAGAGCCTCTCCCAAGAACACTCTGCTCTCATGTGGTCTGGAAGACCACAGTGGATCCTAACCACCCTCAGGATCCAGCCGCATGAGACAGTTCTGCATCTAGTCTAGCAAGACCACACAAGGCCTGGACTCCATCAGGAACCAGGTATTTAATATGTGCCATGCCAAACACCATGCAAAGCATTATATCTTCTATAACCCATACAGCATCTCTAGGAGGAAGTGCATTCTATCCCCATTTCAAAGCCTAAGCTTCTCCCCACTGTGCTACCCTGCTCCAGGGCATGGAAAGAAGCGCTCCTCTGCCAGGCAGAGCCAGGATCTCAGCTCAGCTCTGTCAGGCCGGGAGGCAGAGCCTGCCTGTTACTTTTGTCCGGCTCAGCCCAGTGGCGCGGCTACATCCCTTGGCGTTGGGCTTATTATCTAGATGCAGCTGTGAAGGAGTAAACGGGGCAATCAGTGTTCATAGTAAGGGATTACTCATGGAAATTCACTCAGATTAAGGATTCTAAGGCAAAACAGAGAAAAGAGATGAACAAAAGATTTAAAAAGACAATGACTAACTTTGCTAAAAACAGTTTCCATTCGGTATTTTGCCAAGAGTGAACTTTGTTCTCAAGTGGGTTTATTTTTACAACCTCCAAGTGCTAAATTTAACCTTGTTGGCTGCACTTGCTGCTGGATCCGGAGGGCAGATGCCGCTCATTCTCAGATGGCATTTGGGTCGTGTGGAGACTCTGGATAGCCACCATCCTTAAATGCCAGAAATAGACTTTTAAAGGGTGTGTGCTGATCACACTCTGTTTGGAACTTGTGGGTACATGCATCATGCTTACCCATTGGATTCTTTGGTCCCAGAGAGGAACCATGAAGCTAGGCTCATGGAGATGGGGGAAGAAGCCTAAAAACCATTTTAGATATAATTCTTACCATAAGATCTCTGTGCACTTCTAGCTGGGGAGTGTACGTGGGTGGATGGGTGTTTGACAAATGTGAAATGCAGATTTTCATCCAGTTTTTGTGCAAAGCAACAAATTCAAAACCCTCCAGGGCACAGTACAATGGGGACTTTTAGGACACACACTGTGGCCTTCACGTGATTTAGATCCATGTATTAAATGCCTTTCTGTCAAAAGCCTTTTCTTGCTCCAAAATTCTTTCCTGAATTTTGAAGCTTGCACAATACCTAGTTTGACCCCTCAGGTTTTTCAGTATTTTTAAATAAATTTTTGAACCAACTGCCCACTGCTTAATTTCCCCTTTCATCCCACGGTGATTGCCTATGAAGCTCTTAGTGCACCTGAGGGTTTAGGTGGGCTCTGTCCTACTGAAATAGAGGGCAGGGACAAGGTCCCTAAAGGCCAGGGTAAGGATACTAACCCTCCTCTGTGATTCTTAATCCACAAACATTTTTCATTGTTTTTCAGTCCTGAGAATCCTCTCTTCAAAAGATATTGGTTGAGCACCTATTCTGAAGCAAGGACCATGCCAGGGGCCTGGGACATGAGATTGGTAAGCCATGGCTCTTATCCTCAGAGAGCCCATAGTCCAGCAGGGAGCCGGACATGTACCTACAGAACACTAACACTGAGGACAGTACTGTGTTAGCAGGATGAACAAAGTGCTTTAAGAGCACACAGGAAGGAGAGATTAACTTGGGGGTGGGGCTGGGATGCATGATGGGTCAGCAAGGGCTTAGTGGTGCCGTGACAGAAGAGCTAATTTTATCAGGCACCGTTAGACTTTTAGTAATATGCAGGGATACTCTTTAAAACATGAGTTAGCTTGCTTTTAAAAAATGAACCATGGGCGCCTGGGTGGCTCAGTCGGTTAAGCGTCTGACTTCGGCTCAGGTCATGATCTCATGGTTTGTGGGCTCGAGCCCTGCGTGGGGCTCTGTGCTGACAGCTAGCTCAGAGCCTGGAGCCTGTTTCAGATTCTGTGTCTCCCTCTCTCTCTGACCCTCCCCTGCTCACACTGTCTCTCTCAGAAATAAAAACATTAAAAAATTTTTTAAAAAAGAACCAAAGCCATGTTTTTGTAAGATACGGGTATTAAGGGTGTGCATGCATGTGGTGTGCAAATGATTGCATACGTGTATCTGTGGAATTCAAGCGGGATGAAAAGTGAACCTATTGGCTGAGAGGCAGGGCCACCCTGCTACCAACACTCCCTATTAACAGTCAGTTGGAACTGGAAGCCACCTGGCCAACTCTGTCACCCCCATTGTATCCAGAGAGGGAAAAGGGTGGAAGGCCTGTTGAAACCCACCCTTAGTGCAGGAGCAGACACAGGTGGGGTCACTTTTAATCTATGTGGCCACAGCCGACTAGAGCTGGCTTTTGGTCTGGCTCTAAAACTTCAGCTGGATTGATCAGATTTCCCTGTGTGGAATTAGGAAACCGGACCATCAGAGCTAGGACCATGGAGGAAGCTTGTGATGTAGAAAGGGGCCAGTAACCAGTGGGGCTGTGATGAGGAGGGCAGCACCAAAGCCAACCAGGGCAAAGCCAGGTTATGAAGGAGGAAAGCTTGAAGAAGCAAAGGAAGGCAGTTGGCAGAGAGGAAAGGGGGGCAGAAGGGCAGAGAGAGGCAGACACTCAGACACACAGATAGGTTGCCTGTCTAAGTTCTTAAGGTTTCCAAGTCCTGGCCACATGGATCCTGTCAATTAACTTCATTTTTTTGGTAGGATCCTGAATGGGCCTCTGTCCATGTAAACGTGTGTGACTCAAACAAGGAGAAAGAATGGATCGGGAAGCTGGGGATGCCTTGGGTTGGAAGCACAACCACCAGTGAAAGCCCCTTTGAGAACATCTTACTTTGTTGTTTCTCTTTCCAACAACTCGTCTGGATGTAATCAATGTAATCCTTCTCTATCGTCTTCTCCAGGTCCCGTAGAGATGCTCCTCTGTAGGCCTTCTCAAAGTTTTTATCCACAAAGTAAGGCACCTGCAGATTCTGCGTTTCTCTAGAGATGGTGTAGCCCAAGGTCCTGAGATAAGGAGAGAGAGTCTCAGGTAAGCTTTTTATATTTGGCAATTTCACTCTTAGCACCTGGCTGCACAGGTATCATGACCATAATCACATCTTCGTAGGGCAGATGCAAGTGTCATTGTCTAATACTTAACCTGACACTTATTATTTCCCTAGCAAAGTAATGACTGTAATGTCATCATCATAGGAGCATTTCATACTGTGACTTTGGCCTCGGTAGAGTTACTTTATTCTCGTAAAGGATTAACTTCTCTTACATTGCTTTCTGTACTAAAAGCTGAATGCTGAATGTTTTTAAAAACTTTGTATGTTGTGCAGGACTTAGCACATGACACAGAGCAGGCTGTTGGTAAATGTTGGCTGAATGAAGTGATTGTTACAGTAAACTATTTACACATAACCAGGTAGCTTAAAACCAACCTAGTATCAATTTTTAGGATATGTAAAAAGTACTTCACACATAGCTGGTAAGTGAGGGCTGCAAAAATATCAGACAGAAGATTTCAGTGATGCTTCTGCACTAACTCTGTGTGGGTCTAATCTATCTAATGGCAGATGGTGCTCAGAAACATCAGTAGGTCTGGGTTAACTAAATACTAATCATAAGGAAGTATATAAGGGAGCTCAAATATAAGTTAAAACAATGTGATAGCAATGTGCAAAATCCAAGCTAGTTTTATTCAAACTGGAGAAATTCCATCTCGACTGAGGTATATTTGACACTTCCTCAGCTTTTTCCTTTGATCTCTCTACTGAAGGATCTTGCTGAATGTCCAAATGTTTAGGCCTTGACTTCTCCCACCTCTGTCTGAGAAGATGTTAGCAGGGCAAGTTCTTCCCTGCTCCACTAGCTGCACAAGAATGGAGGTAGCGATGACAAACAGGGAACATGGGAAGTTGGGAAATAGAGGGAATTAGGCCAGTGTGACCTGATAGTAGCAACTTCTCTCTGATTCTCAGCTTTCCTTTCTGTAAAATGAAGATACTGATCCAGAAAATAGTCTTTATTCTACAGTGATCGCCAGCAAAGACTTTTCCGGTTATGCACTGCTCCATGGCTTCCACATTTTGTAAGTTTAAAAGAAAAATTTTTTTAAAGATTTTATTTTTAAGGGACTCCTGGGTGGCTCAGTTGGTTAAGCATCTGACTTTGGCTCAGGTCATGATCTCACGGTTCGTGGGCTCGAGCCCTGCATCAGACTCGGTGCTGAAGCCTGGAGCTTGCTTCGGGTCTGTGTCTCCTTCTCTCTCTCTCTCTCTCTCTGCCCCTCTCCTGCTCATGAACTGTTTCTGTCTCTCAAAAAATGGATAAATGTTAAAAAAAACTTTTTAAAAAAGATTTTATTTTTAAGTAATCTCTGCACTCAATGTGGGGCTGAACTCACAACTCCAAGATCAAGAGTCTCTTGCTCTATTAATTGAGCCAGGCAGGTGCCCCCTTTTGTAAGGTTTTTGTCTGCTAAACTATAATAATGAGTAATGACTCATTTCTCATTCAACTTAAAATAATTAATCCAGTGATTCTCTACCATACCTCTGGTATGGACCAGAGTTATTTGGAGGGCTTATTAAAACTCAGATTGCTAGTTCTCATCCTCAGAGTTTCTGTTTCAGTATATATGGAATGAAGCTTAAGAGTCTGCATTTCTGGGGCGCCTAGGTGGCTCAGCCGGTTGAACATCAGGCTTTGGCTCAGGTCATGCTCTCATGGTTCATGGGTTTGAGTCCCGCATTGGGCTCTGTGCTGACATCCAGCTCAGAGCCTGGGGCCTGTTTCAGATTCTGTCTCCCTCTCTCTCTGACCCTTCCCTGCTCACACACTCTCTCTATCTCAGAAATAAATAAAATATTTTTTAAAAGTTTTTTAAAAAAAGCGTCTGCATTTCTAACATGATGCCAGATATTGCCAGATGTTTGATGTCAATGATTCTGGTCTGGGAACCAAACTTTGAAAACCGAATTAATTGAAATAATTAATGGAAGAAACAAAAAGATTCCTATCTGAGCTCATGATTTGCATGCAATACAAACATGCCAATGAATTTCTATATTTTCAATTAGCAATAATTGCGCCTTGGATAAACCTCATTGGCTACGATACTGCCACTGCGCAAAGCTTGAATTTCTATATTTTCAGCAAAAGCAAAGAAATGTGATACCATGGTTTGACTTTGTAGCCTCATCATGAATAAATGTCCTATTCTTGCAATTGTGAAAATAATTCACTTGCAAAAGTGAAAATAATCACTGGATCTCAGATACTATGCTCCTGACCCAGAGGGGCCCAGCGATTCGATCACAAGCTCAATATAGTCCTTTCTAAATCTCACATGGTATGACAAGAATCTAATCTGAAACTGGAGTTGGTCTATTAATCTTTCAGACACTAGTTGCTGCTGTTCTGCGGCTGATCAGATGATGTCGCTGTAGAACAAAATAATCCATGTCCTGAGCAAACAGGAAATTGCCAAGAGTATTTTTGAGTCTCTGCTCTATTACTATCCAGCTGTTCCTTTAAACACAAAATCAGTGTTTTCTACAACGGGGAAATGAAATGTTAGCAATGTACTAGCAAAACGTTCAAGTCTTTCACCCTCCAAGTTGTTAAGAAAGATTTAAAAATATTTGACTTACGATTTATAGAACAGACTATATGGGGGATTAGCTGCTAGCAGCTGAGTAATGACAGATATAATCACAATCACAAGAAATGGAAGTAGCTGAATAAATGCAGAATACGTATTCTGAAAAAGAAGAAAAAATATTTGATGTAAGTGGCCTTCGTTTATATAAAGCTTACAGAAAACAGGATAGTTTTCCCAAAGAAAATACAAATTACTGCAATGTACTGCACAAAGCCCAAGGTTTTTCTAGGAGAGCTGTACTTTCTGCTGAGAAGTACCAAATACTCTGTTCTCTGTGCTGAGAAGGCTGAAGGAGACCCACCCATAACCTATATTGACACACAGTTATTCTTCCTTTTTCTAAGACCAAAGAAGCAGATACCTCTGGGTGAGCCTATCTAGATTATGACCCTTACAGAGCCATGTTAGTATTATGCAGCTTTGTTCCCTTGGCTACAGCTGGATGGACTGGGGGACATCTAATCCTAGCAGGGATAATCACATTCTCCCTCCTAGAAATTTGGAATTGAGATTCATCACTGTTCACCACTAGGCAGTCACCTGAAGGACACCCACTCTTAGGCAGTGTAAGCTGGCTGTTTGCAAGAGGAAGTAGAACAAGCCAGGCCACTTAGAGAGAACAAAGCAGATGCGTACAAGCAGGAAAAGTGGAGACAATCTGGCCACAAATAGTCACGGAGAGATAGCGGTATGGGTGCCTAACCGTACCTTAGTTTCTGGTTCCCATCTGTCATGATGGGACCAGCTGTGCATCCCGCTCTTGAGCTTCATGAGACTCCCTAGATCCCTTACTTTCAACTCCCTTTAGTTTTGCATATTTTGAAAGGGGTTCCTATTTTCTGCAGGGAGGAAAATCTTGATCAAGACAGCCCCACAGGAGAAATGATTTCCTGAAACAGCTGCCAAAGGATGGGTGGGAAGGAGGGTAACATTCTGGCCTATTTGGGCCAATTATCCACCTTCTCCTACCACTGCCTCCACTTTCCTAAAACACATTTTAACAACATAGCTTATGTTGAACTTCTGAATCCTGATCATATACACCATGAAAGCCAGCTCAGTGCTAGTGTTTATGGCAGCAGTTGTGCTGTCCTCCCTCGGTACCTGAGGCTTTTCTTCCTCTTCTTCTTCTTCCTTCCGTGTCTGCGTCCGCTCATGTCGGTGCCTCCGGCGGTAATAGTGAGTATCATCTGTCACATTTGAAAACATATGAATGTTTCCTGGAAAAGAAAGAAAAACATAGAGGGGTGCCTGGCTGGCTCAGTCGGTGGAGTGGGCAACTCTTGATCTAGGGCTCGTTGAGTTTGAGTACTACATTGGGTGTAGAGATTACTTTAAAAAAATAAAAAATAAAATACAAATCATGCTTGCACATGCAAAATTTTAAAAGAAAGAAGGAAAAGAAGGTTACAGTGTAAGATATAGCAAACACTCCTTCCTTGCTTTTTCTAAGATCCTGTTCCCAGCCAGGTTCTCTGAGGGTAGAGTATTGTCCCATTTTACTCAGTAGAAAAATAAAACAGTAGGTAAGCCAAGTGAACCAGTTTGAAATGGAATGTGCTTAGCTCTCCTGCCTTTATTTAAATAGTCCTTTGTGGGGCACCTGGGTGACTCAGTCAGTTAAGCTTCCAACTCTTGGTTTTGGCTCAAGTTGTGATCTCACGGCTGTGACCCTGCATCAGGTTCTGCGCTGGGCGTGGAGCCTGCTTAAGATTCTCTCTCTCTCCCTCTGACCTTCTCCCCTACTCACTCATGCTCTCTCTCTCTCAAATAAAAATAATAATAAAGAATAAATAAAGAGTCTTTTGTAACTAGTGAGTGAGAGAACCCCAAAAGGCCTTTAGTAAAGAAAGAACATTTGGGCCATGAATCCTGTCTGATACGCTCATGTCTGCTTCCTTGCCTAATATCAGATTATGTCACTGGTATCTTTAATAGCAACTCAGAAAATTCAGTTTACTTCCTGGACATTTAATTATTCCAACTTCCAAGTCTCTAGGGTATTTTTCTAACTCTTATCTTTATATAGCTGCTATTTTACAATAATGATAATAATAGGCATCTTGCTACTTATTTATAAAGTACCTAAAAATCTAACTCTTGTAGCAGCCCTATGAGGTAGAAGTTATCTGCTCCATTTCTCGGGTGAGGAAACAGGATCAGAGAGACCAAGTGATTTGGTTAAAATCAAGCACAGTTGGAGGCTGAAGACCTGCCTCAAACCCAAGCTCATCTGATTCCAAATTCTTGCTCTTTCCACCATACGATAGTATCTCTACTCAGATCCTTACACAGGAGCTTGCTGAGATATAGAGACAGAAAGAAAGAAATATAGGGGGGCCTGGGTGGCTCAGTCGGTTGAGCATCTGACTTCGGCTCAGGTCATGATCTCACGGTTTGTGGGTTCGAGCCCCGCATCGGGCTCTGTGCTGACAGCTAGCTCGGAGCCTGGAGCCTGTCTTCAGATTCTATGTCTCCCTCTCTCTCTGACCCTCCCCTGCTCACACTGTCTCTCTCTCTTCCTCTCTCAAAAATAAATAAAACATTAAAAAATTAAAAAAAAAAAGAAAGAGAAATATAAAGTTTTAAGTGATAATTTTGAAAAACTAACCTGTGGGAAAATGGCCTCCAAAGAAGACATTGAATAGCTCTTCTGGAGTGATGTCTGCTTCGAAGTCCCTGTAATAGTTGTAAGGTCTGCCTCGAGGGGCAGTGAAAGTCACCTGTTCATCTCCATATTCATCATAGCGGAGTCTCTTGTCAGGATTACTCAGGACTGCAAAGGCATTTCCTATCGCTGCAACCAAAACCCAAAAGTACCTGAGTACACAGTCTTTGCTGGAGCTGAGGGTGATCACTGTAGCAGCAATGAAGAGCCCAGAGTTGTCCGGTGCTGGATGACTTCAAAGGGGCCTAGAGAAAGGTGCTTGGGCCTAAAAGTTCACCAGAGTTTTGCCCTTGACATTTTTCACAATCTAGTTTGATAAGCCAGAAGCAATACTGGACTCAAATTGAACTAAAAAGTACTGCCTTCCTTCATCAAAAATACATCCTTATTTCACTGAGAGCAATTACTTTATGGTTGGAAACAGTTCATACATGAGCAATGGTATTCTAACATGAAGTCATAAACAGTTTCCTGAATAAAATAATCAGTAAAATTATTGCTTGGCTAAAAGCAAAGTCCTCAGGGCCCTGGGTAGCTCAGTTGGTTAAGTGTCAGACTTGATTTCTGCTCAGGTCATGATCTCATGGTTCATGAGATCGAGCCCCAACTTGGGCTCTGTGCTCACAGCACAGAGCCTGCTAGGGATTTTCTCTCCCTCTTTCTCTGCCTCTCCCTCCTCAAAATAAGTAAATAAACTTAAAAAATAAATAAATAAAAGCAAAGTGCTCACTAATCACAGTCCTGTTTCAGCTTACTTTAGAAAGTGGTCTAGAAATTAAGAAATGTGGTGCAGCTGGGTGGCTTGGTCAGGTAAGCATATGACTTCAGCTCAGTTCATGATTTCATGGTTTGTGAGTCCGAGCCCCACGTCGGGCTCTGTGCTGACAATTCAGAGCCTGGAGCCTGCTTTGGATTCTGTGTCTCCCTTTCTCTCTGCTCCTCCCCAGCTCACGCTCTGTCTCTGTCTCTCTCTCAAAAATAAATATTAAAAAAAAAAAGAGGGGCGCCTGGGTGGCTTAGTCGGTTAAGCGTCCGACTTTCGCTTAGGTCATGATCTCACGGTTCGTGGGTTCGAGCCCCACGTCGGGCTCTGTGCTGACTGCCGGCTCAGAGCCTGGAGCCTGTTTCAGTCTGTGACTCCCTCTCTCTCTGACCCTCCCCTGCTCACGCTGTCTCTCTCTCTCCTAGAAATAAATAAAACATTAAAAAAAAATTAAAAAAAAAAAGAAATTAAGAAATATATCTCCAGTGTCTCAGTGATGGATCAAAGACTGAGTAGATTACACATGCTGACCATTACCTCGTCTCCCTGTGTACAAACATGCAAATGTTGTCCCATTTCATTTAAACACAAATCGGTATCACTAATCAAAGAAACCTTGAAAAACAAATCTTTAAGATATCCCTACTCCCTGCCTTTAAGTCAGTCAACACTATCAGAAACACAATCAGAAGGAACATTTCTTGATGATTCTTCTAGTGAGGGAATTATATTAAATGTATATAGCAATAAAAAAGCTAAGCAGAAAAAAACAAACAAAAAAGGCTAACTAGAGTTGCTTCAATATCACCTCCCTGGAAACCTGACAGATTTCTCATAGATATGGCATTGATCTGTGAGATACTTTACACGAAGGTGTAAAGACAATGTGGGTTATCTATTTGTTTCTGTGTAGAAACTGTGGGGAGGATAAGATTCAAAAAGGCACATCAATAAAGGGAGACTGTCCTCTGAGGTAAATGTTTACTTTTAAGATGTTCTCAGAGCCATCATTTTGTACTTTTTCTTTAGAAAAATCCCAAATCAACAGAAAAGTTGAAAAAATAGTAAATAACACCCTTTCCCTTGATTCATCAATTGTCTTTTTTTTTTAAATTATTTTTAATGTTTTATTTATTTCTGAGAGAGAGACAGCATGAGCAGGGGAGGGTCAGAGAGAGAGGGAGACACAGAATCTGAAGCAAGTTCCAGGCTCTGAGCTAGCTGTCAGCACAGAGCCGATGTGGGGCTCGAACCCATGAATTGTGAGATCACGACCTGAGCCGAAGTCCGATGCTTAACCGACTGAGTCCCCCAGGTGCCCCTTGATTCATCAATTGTTAGCATTTTGCCACATTGTTTCCCTCAACTCTCCATTCATACATGCATACATATAGTCTGTATACATTTCTTTTGCTGAACCATTTGAAAGTAGGCTGCAGATATTATGCACTTCATCCCTAAATATTTCAGCATGTATCTCCTAAAACAATCTCCTACATGATCACAGTACTGTTATCATGGCTAAGAAATTAACATCAATCCATGTACTTCATGCAAGGTCCATGTATTGCATTTGCTTTTATATCCCTTTTGTTTCTTCTAGAACAGTTCCTCCACCTTTTCTACTTTTCATTATATTCACTTTTTTGAAGAGCAGGTCAGTGTTCTTTGTAGAATAGCCCATGTTTTGATGATTTCCTCATTATTAGATTCAGGTCAAACATTTTGGCAAGAATACCACAGAGGTGCCATACCACATAATGGTAGGTGGGGCCAGTATTGGTGACAGTAAGTTGGATCACTTGGTTAAATTGGTGGAAGCTAGAGATCTCCATTATAGAGGAATTTTTCTGCTTTGTAATCAGTAAGTATTCTGGGGGATGATACTCTGACATCATGGGTCCTATTCAACAAAAACCCAACACCAACAGTTTTAACAACCATTGATAATCCTCGACTGAATCAATGGCTGTTAGGTAAGATTTTTATTTATGTGTTAAGTATAAAAACATATCGTTACAGAGAAACGAGATATTTTTTTCCAAAAGAAAATAAATAAGTGAATGAAGACAGGAGGGAGCCGTGCTGATAATCACTATTTAAGAGGTAAGGCAGGAAAAAGGGTCCTGTTTGTAGCATTATAAAACTATTACAGGGGAGGCTGAACATGACTTGGGACCAAACATCACAAGAAGGGCAGAATTAAACATTAATTCAGGATCAGACCTTTGAAAGCATCTGTCGCTCCAGGAGCACAATTCTTGTCAGGGTGAAATTTCAGGGCAAGTTTCCGGTAAGCTTTCTTAAGCTCATCATCACTGGCATTTCGAGACACTCCTAAAATTTCATAGTAATTTCTGCATTTCTTGATCCTATAAAGACACATCAGAAATATGTATGTCTACAAGTCCCCTTTTGTACAGTTCACTGTAAAATAGTACATTGATCCTGCAATATATGAGCCCCAAAACAAACCCAAAACAAACATAAAAGAAAATGGCGAACATATTAATGAAACATCCAGATTGATTAACAATATCCTCCTTCTACCAAGAGCTTAATGCCTTTCAAAATATTTTTACATCCAATATTTTATTCTTCCTAAATCCCTGCAAGTGGGTAGAATAAACAGGCTCATCCTTACATCAAGGTGCAGGCTAAGCCCCTGAGAGTTGAATCATAGGATAGCAAAGCCAGAAGAAACACCTAATCACCCTACTTACTTCTTTCTCTCTCTTTCTCTTTTTCCTTATGGGTACCTTTTTTTTTTTTTAATGTTTATTTATTTGTGTGTGTGTGTGTGTGTGTGTGAGAGAGAGAGAGAGAGAGAGAGAGAGAGAGAGAGAGAGAGCGTGAGTAGGGGAGGGTAAGAGAAAGAGGGAGACACAAAATCCGAAACAGGCTCCAGGCTTTGAGCTGGCTGTCAGCACAGAGCCCCACATGGGGCTTGAACTCACAAACCGTAAGATCATGACCTGAGCTGAAGTCGGACGCTCAACCGACTGAGCCACCCAGGCGCCCCTCCTTATAGGTACCTTTTTAAAAACTTTGTTTTAAAAAGTTAATATATAGGAGCACCTGGATGGCTCAGTCAGTTGAGTGTCCAACACTTGGTTTTGGCTGGTGTCCTGATCTCACGGTTCATGGGTTCCAGTCCTGTGTGGGGTGCCACACAGATAGCGTAGAGCCTGCTTGGGATTCTCTCTCCTCTTCTTTCTCTGTGCCCCTCCCCAGTTCACACTCTCTCAAATACAAACAAAAAAACCAAACAAACTTAAAAAACTTCCTCCTTCCCCATTCCCTGCTCTTCAATCTGCACCCGAAGGACAACCACTATTAAGTTTTCTGTTGGAATACTCCATGGCAATGAGAAAGAATGAAATCTGGCCATGTGTAGCAACATGGATGGAGCTTGAGGGTGTTATGCTGAGTGAAATAAGTCAAGCAAAGAAGGACAAATACCATATGTTTGCACATATAGGAGGATTAGGAGGAACTTAACAGAGGACTAAGGGGGAGAAGAAGGGGGGAAATGGTGGGGGAAAGGGAGAGAGGCAAACCATGAGAGACTCTTGAA